ACGCTGGAAGGGCTATGATCCTTCTGAGGACAGCTGGGTCTCTGAAAAAGACATGAGTAACGCCCGACGTTCTCTCCGCGACTATCTTGTCAAGCAGGGTGTTACATCTACCACCCAGCTTTGAGGGGGGGAAGTGTGAGAGTACGCCGACGTTCGACATATTTCTCATTTCCAGATTTTTACTCCAATTTATTCTCCTTATTTTCCTCTTTCATTTGCACTTTATTTCACCTCAATCGGACTACTATTCTATTTTCTAGAGCTTTCCGATTATTTCACTTATTTGGTATTTTCGGCACCGACATTTACATTATACGACACCGACAGCACCGACAGTGGTGTACAAGGCGTAATCTCGCCATAATCCGAAGTGCCAATGGGCTTGCGTGCTTATGCACACTTGTGATTATCTATTCTAGAAGAGCGCGTTCCCGAAGGTTCGGATTATCTGTTGTTTCTATGTATTTCCGAGTATAAATACGCCTTGTATTCACCTTTAGTGCAACATTCTCGAGTGGAAATTCGATCATGTGACATACACGAGCGCTTCATCAGGACTTCCCAGTCCTGCGTCTGCACTCTGACAGGGGTGGTGAGTTCTCTTCTGGCGTCCTTGAGACGTTCTGCCAGGATGAGGGCATCGCCCAGTCGTTCACGCTTCCGGCCTCTCCGCAGCAAAATGGGATCGCTGAGCGTCGCATTGGCCTGATCATGGAGGTTGCTCGTACCTCCATGATCCATGCGGCTGCTCCCCATTTCCTGTGGCCGTTTGCGGTCCGATACGCCGTGCATCAGCTCAACCTCTAGCCCCGTGTCTCTGCTCCAGAGACCTCGCCCACACTTCGTTGGACGGGACAGCCTGGTGATGTGTCGTCGTTACGGGTCTGGGACGCGCTCTCCCTTGTTCGCGATACCAAAGCGAGCAAGCTCTCTCCTCGCACTCTCCGCTGTGTCTTCTTGGGCTTCCCCACCGACGCTCCACCCTGGCAGTTCCACCACCCTGCCTCGCGTCGTGTTCTGTCCTCTCAGGACGTCACCTTCGACGAGTCGGTCTGTTACTACCGACTTCACCCGCACGCGTCCCACCTGGTCCCCCTTGCACCCCTCTTCCTGGTACCAGTCCCCCCCCCGGTAGACCCCCTCCCCCCACAGGGTCCTGCTCCCTCAGGTGTGTCCCAGGTAGACCCACCCCCCTTGGATGAGCCAGTTGAGATCTCTTCTGACTCCTCTGACTCACCTCAGGGGGGTGACGCCGTCGCCGACGACACGGCGACCACTCGCCACACTCCTCGCTTGGCGACCCCCTCGGGTTTCCCGCCACGGCCGTCTTCGCCGCCTCCGCAGCCTGCTGCTGTGGAATCTGGAGCTGAGACTACTGGTGCTGGGACTGAGGGTGCTGGGACTGAGGGTACTGAGCCTGAGGGTGCTGGGGCTGAGGGTGCTGGGACTGAGGGTACTGAGCCTGAGGGTGCTGAGACTGAGGGTGCTGAGACTGAGGGTGCTGGGACTGAGGGTGCTGAGCCCGAGGGTGCTGGGACTGAGGGTACTGAGACTTTGGGTGCTGACTCTGGGGGTGCTGAGACTTCGGGTGCTGACTCTAGGGGTGCTGCGAGTCCTTCTGGAGGTACTGGAGCTACTAGGCCTGGAGGTCCTACTGGAGGTACTAGAGGTACTACTGGTGCTGGAGGTACTGGAGCTGCTGCTGGTGCTGGAGGTGCTGGAGCTGGAGGTACTAGAGGTGCTTCTGGTGCTGGAGGTGCTAGAGCTACCACTACTGGAGGTACTGGAGCTGGACAGCCACCGCAGCCTGCTCTACTTAAGACGCTCTCGCCGCAGGCGATTCGTGCGTGGGTCGTTCTGCGAGGCGGTCCTGGTGGTGGAGGGTACGGTCCTGCTGGTGCTGGAGCTACTAGTCCAGGAGGTGCTGCTGGTGCTGGAGGTGCTGGAGGTACTACTGGAGGTACTAGAGGTGCTGCTGGTGGAGGAGGTGATGGAGGTGCTGGAGCTACTGGTCCCGGAGGTGCTCGTACTGGAGGTGCTGGAGCTGCCGAAGCAGGTGGTACTGCTGGTGCTAGAGGTGCAGGAGGTGCTACTGGAGCTGCTGGCACAGGAGGTACTGGAGGTACTACTGGTGCTGGAGGCGCTGGAGCTGAAGCTGGAGGCACTGGAGGTGCTGGAGGTACTACTGGTGCTCGAGGTGCTGGCGTTGTCGGAGCTCGTGGTGCTGGAGGTGCTGGTGCTACTGGTACTGGAGGTGTTGCTGGGGGTACTGGAGGAGCTGCTCGTGCTGGAGGTACGGGAGCTACTGGTGCTCTTCTTGATACTGCAAACAACAGCAGCAGAAAACATCAGCCAAGCCAAGTAATTTACTGCAACAATTCGGCTTACGGATGCCATGAAGATATACCGTACGGTACCACCAAGACCAATGAGGCAAAACAAAGGGCAGCACACATGGCACAGACAAAACAATCATTCACTACATGTCTAACTCTGCCCTCAGACTCTTTGTTTTCTTGGTTGCAAATTGCTCTGCTTTATTTTACAAGTAACAATACGGTACAGCCATTAATCATAGTGTAGCGTGACTGTAATTTTTGGAGGGGATTGGGAGCTTGAAGCTTTTGTATACATTTGAAAGAGGGAGGTTCAAAAGTTTTGAAATTTGAAATATTGGTAACCCAATTACAGCTAGTTCACTCTCTGAACAAGGGAGGGAGATCTCCCCGACACCCAGCACTCGCTGGTGATTCAAAACTTTTGGGTCGACAAAAGTATACGAAATCCAGCCTACGTGAGATCTACGGCAGTACGCTCTAAGCACATCGCGACTCAACAGCCAGCGCAAATTACCCTCGTTTCCGACACAAACCTAGACGCGTGGGGTAGTTTAGTGTAATTATAGGGATAAACCAGCGTCAGTTCCGCCCTCTCACGCAGCGATCCCGCGGGACCTCCTCTCACGGCCTCGCCTCGTCGTCCGTCGTGTCACCTCACGACGCTGCCTCCTCACGCCACCGTGAACGCGTACGACTCGTCTTAAACTGCCGAACACGCACGATCACAGTCGCGGCCCGATCGCACAGCCTCGCTACCACGTTTCCGCACTAGCCCCGGCAGCCGCACTTGAGTGCGCGAACGACTGCAGAAACGGGAGCTTCCAACCCCTTCCCGCCTCCTCGTTTCCCTTCTTGCCACCCCAATTCGCGTTCCAGCCTCCTCGTTTCCCCTTTCTGCTCCCCAGTACCCCTTCCCGCCTCCCCGTTTCCCCTTGCCCGCCTCCCCAATTCCCCTTCCCGCTCCCCGTTTCCCCTTCCCGCCTCTCCGTTTCCTCTTCCCGCCCCCCATTACCCCTTCCCGCCTCCCCGTTTCCCCTTTCCGCTCCCCATTACCCCTTCCCGCTTCCCCGTTTTCCCTTCCCGCTCCCCATTACCCCTTCCCGCCTTCCCGTTTCCCCTTCCTGCCTCCCCAATTGCCGTTCCCGCCTCCCCGTTTCCCCTTCCCGCTCCCGACTTCCCCTTCCCGCCTCCCCGTTTCCCCGTCCCGTTCCCGTTTCCCCTACCCGCCTTCCCGTTTCCCCGTCCCGCTCCCCGTTTCCCCTTCCCGCCTCCCCGTTTCCCCTTCCCGCTCCCCTTTTCCCCTTCCCGCTCCCCGTTTCCCCTTCCCACCTTCCCGTTTCCCCTTCCCGCTCCCCATTACCCATTCCCGCCTCCCCGTTTCCCCTTCCCGCTCCCCGTTTCCCCTTCCCACCTTCCCGTTTCCCCTTCTCGCTCCCCATTACCCATTCCCGCCTCCCCGTTTCCCCTTCCCGCTCCCCATTTCCCATTCCCGCCTCCCCGTTTTCCCTTTTCTACTCCTCAATTCTCGTTCCAGCCTGCACGTTTCCCCTTCCCGCTCCCCGTTTCCCCTTCCCACCTCCCTGTTTCCCCTTCCCGCTCCCCATTACCCCTTCCCGCCTCCCCATTTCCCATTCCCGCTCCCCATTACCCCTTCCCGCCACCCCCCTTCCCGCCTCCCCATTACCCCGTTTCCCCACTTTCTCCCTCTCGTTTCCCCCCCTTCTCCCTCTCGTTTCCCCGCCTCCCCCTCTCGTTTACCCCCCTTCCCCCTCTCATTCCCCCCCCTTCTCCTCATTATTTTCCCCGCTTCTCCCTCTCATTTCCCCCCTGCATTACCCTTCCCCTCCCTGCATTACCCTTCCCCACCCTGCATTACCCTTCCCCTCCCTGCATTACCCTTCCCCTCCCTGCATTACCCTTCCCCACCCTGCATTACCCTTCCCCTCCCTGCATTACCCTTCCCCTCCCTGCATTACCCTTCCCCTCCCTGCATTACCCTTCCCCACCCTGCATTACCCTTCCCCTCCCTGCATTACCCTTCCCCTCCCTGCATTACCCTTCCCCACCCTGCATTACCCTTCCCCTCGCTGCATTACCCTTCCGCTCCCTGCATTACCCTTCCCCTCCCTGCATTACCCTTCCGCTCCCTGCATTACCCTTCCCCTCCCTGCATTACCCTTCCCCTCCCTGCATTACCCTTCCCCACCCTGCATTACCCTTCCCCTCGCTGCATTACCCTTCCGCTCCCTGCATTACCCTTCCCCTCCCTGCATTACCCTTCCGCTCCCTGCATTACCCTTCCCCTCCCTGCATTACCCTTCCGCTCCCTGCATTACCCTTCCCCTCCCTGCATTACCCTTCCCCTCCCTGCATTACCCTTCCCCTCCCTGCATTACCCTTCCCCTCTTTTTCACGATCCTCCTGCCTTTCCCTCTTTTCCCCTCTCCTGTACAGTCATCAACATTTTCAATGTATTATGACATGCTATGCTATGCTATCAATTCACTTGATTGATACGCTAACAGCACATACAAGCTGGAACTTCCTGCCTATTGATTTGGTTTCACTAAGCTGCAAAGAGCAGCACTCAGAATGAGAAGGCCTGATGTCCTTCGTGTCGTGCTGTTGAAAAAAAACAAACAAACAAACAAACAAACAAAATTATAGACAAGGGCAAGCTGCAGAAGAAACAGAGGGTAAGCTGGAGTGGAAGGGAGGGGAAGCAAAGGGGGAGCAAGGGTTGCACGGGGGGAAGTAAGGAAGGGTAAGCAAAGGGGGGATGAGGGGAAGGACTGTGCAGCATGTGAGGGCGCTGCAGCTCCCTCACGCGCGCCAGCAGCATGAGCACACTCACCTGCCGGCAGGGTGGGGGCAGGGAAGGGTAAGGAGGGGGGAAACGAGGGAAAGGAGAGGGGGGAATGAGGGGAGGGAGAGGGGAAAATGAGGGGAAGGAGGGGTAAAGGAGGGGACGGAGAAAGGGAGAGGAGAGGACGGATAAGGGGAAATGTGGGAAACAAGAGGAACGAGAGGATGAAATGAGGGGAGAGGGGGAAACAAGGGGACGGAGTAGGGGAAATGCGAGAAACGAGATGGGGAGATGAGGGTAAGGAAAGGGTGAATGAGGAGAAGGAGAGGGCGAAATGAGGGGAAGGAGAGGGGAAAATGAAGAGGGAGAAAGGGGGGAAGTGAGGGTGAGCAGGGGGAGAAATGAGAGGGAGCAGGGGGGGAAATGAGAGGGAGCAGAGGGGGAAATGAGAGGGAGCAGGGGGGGAAATGAGAGGGAGCAGGGGGGGAAATGAGAGGGAGCAGGGGGGGAAATGAGAGGGAGCAGGGGGGGGAAATGAGAGGGAGCAGGGGGGGGGAATGAGAGGAAGAAAGGGGGAAAATGAGGGGGATAAGGGGGGGAAACGAGAGGGGGGAAAGCGGGGAAATGAGAGGGGGAAGAGAGGGAAATGAGAGGGAGAAGGGGGGAAATGAGAGGGAGAAGTTGGGGAAATGAGAGGAGGAGGGGAAACGAGAGGCAGAAGGGTGGGAAACGAGAGGGAGGAGGGGGAGAAATGAGAGGGGGAAGGGGGGAATACGAGAGGGGGAAGGGGGAGTTACGAGAGGGAGGAGGGGGGGAAATGAGAGGGAGAAGGGGGGGAAACGAGATTGATAAGGGGGGGAAACGAGAGCGGGAAAGGGGGGAAATGAGAGGCGGAAGGGGGGAAAACGAGAGGGAGAAAGGGGGGAAACGAGAGGGAAGAGCGGGGGAAACGAGAGGGAGGAGGGGGGGGAATGAGAGGGAGAAGGGGGGGAAACGAGAGGGGGAAAGCGGGGAAATGAGAGGGGGAAGAGGGAAATGAGAGGGAGAAGGGGGGAAATGAGAGGGAGAAGTTGGGGAAATGAGAGGAGAAGGAGGGGAAACGAGAGGGGGAAGGGGGGGAAACGAGAGGGAGGAGGGGGGGAAATGAGAGGGAGAAGGGGGGGAAACGAGAGGCGGAAGGGGGGGAAAGGAGAGGCGGATGGGGGGGGAACGAGAGGGAGAAGGGGGGGAAACGAGAGGGTGGAGGGGGGAAACAAGAGGGAGGATGGGTGGAAACGAGATGGAGAAGGGGGGGAAACGAGAGGCAGAAGGGGGGGAAATGAGAGGCGGAGGGGGGGGGGAACGAGAGGGAGAAAGGGGGGAAACGAGAGGGAGGAGCTCCGGGAAAATGAGAGGCGGAAGGGGGGGAAATGAGAGGAGAAGGGGGGGAAACGAGATTGAGGAAACGAGAGGCGGAAGGGGGGGAAATGACGAAATAAGGTTATGAGCCAAGCAGCGCGTGAGGCAAGTATTTTGCCGATTCGCAGGTGAGGCATGCGGCGGGTGAGGCGAGAAGCGGGTGACGCGCTAAACGGATTTCGCGAGCACCGTGTTTGGCGAGGAGCGGGTATCGCGATCAGCGGGTTTCGCCATCAGCGGGTTTCGCCATCAGCGGGTTTCGCCATCAGCGGGTTTCGCGATGCATGATGGCGCTAGGCGAGAAGCCCGCAGGGTGGAACGCGACGGCTCACTGAATAATTTATCGCTGGTTCGACGATTGCATCGCGGCGAGCCAGCAAAATGCAACTCGTCGAGGCGCTCGCCCGTGTGCCGCATGGCATCGCTCGACGAATGCTACGCGACGGCCCATCCGAATGCAAACCGCCCCTGCAGCTAAAGGCTTTTGTATAGCCCCGTATCCCCTTACCACGGGCGATTAGGTCAGGGTGAGTAGTTGCGCTGCTAGTTCTATCAAGGCCTTTCCTAGTAATTAGTTGCTTATACTTGTGTTTGTGAGTGTCGCTCAAGGGTTGGGTGACGGGAGAGTTTCTCGTGTTCCCACCCCTCAATCCTCCAAATTTTCGCAACCCCTCTCGCCAAGCCCCTTTCTTTTCGTTGGGGCGAAATCTTGGTGGCTACTGTTCCACCACAAACAGTACTTTCAAATGTATACGAAAGCTTTAACCAGGGCTCTTGCTAGGACCGTCTGAAAATCTTAATGAAAAAAATGGTTTCGTCTGACGTTCAGACGAGGAAAAATAGTTGGTCTGAAATTCCAGACGAATGCAAAAGGCACGTCTGAATTTTCAGATGAAACTATCGTGTTGTCTTTTTGTTTGTGACTTGCAATCGTGAACTGTTGTACTTTTATCAGGGCGACAACCTGTCCGGGTTTGGGGGCTGCAATGCAAGAGGCGGGAGCGGGGCAGGGGGGGGGCGGGTGTTGGGCTGCAAGAGGGACTAGGGGTGGGGGGCTTGATTGTGCGAGAGGGTCGTTGGGGTACAAGGGCTGGGTGGGGCACAAGGGTCGTGGCGTGGACTTGGGAGACGCGGGGGGAATTTCGGGGTGGCTGGATAGTGGGGAGGAGCGAGGGAAGGGTGTGGGCGAGGGGCTGAAGAGCGGGGGGGAGGGGGAGAGGGAAAGGGGGGTGGGGGGACGGGGGTGTAAGTACTTTGTGTCAGACGAAAATGTACGCACTATCTGATCTCTCAGACGAAATATAACGCTAGCTCTGATTTCTCAGATGAAGTATAATTGCTGGTCTTGCGGATCAGACTAACTAAGATCATTCGTCTTACAATTCAGATGAAATGAAAATCTAGGTCTGATTTTCAGACCATCAGACCGATTTGGTCTGATAACAAGGACCCTGAGCTTAACACTTGCTCGTGGGATTGTAACTTGACTTTCAAGAATAGGTACATACATTTTCTATCGTGCTCCCGCCAAAGGCACATCCCCAGTTTGAGCAGCCATGGCAGCACGAATGGCAGCAGCAGTAGCACCATCCCCACCAGCAGCACCACCAGCAGCACCAACATCAGCACCAACATCAGTAGCAGCGACAGCAACGGCTGGTCTCTTGGTGTCCTCAATATTGAATATTCTCGCTTTGCGAAGCACCTCTGTGACCACCCAGTGCTTGCGCTTGCTCAGTGGCCGCGATGACTCGATGCGCACCTGTGGTGGAGGGAAAGGCCAGCAGGGCAAGATGGCGGCTAGGCAAGAGCAAGGCATGCATCAGAGCTTAGAGCACGGAATCTATCTAACATAACCACCCAGTGCTTGCGCTTGCTCAGTGGCTGTGATGACTCGATGGTATGGTGTGTACGAGCAGCAGGGCAAGTGGAACGGGAAGCGCAAGAAGAGAGGCAGGCAGGACAGCGGATCACAAAGGATGTAACGTGATCACCCATGGCCATGCCCATGCCCATGCCCATGCCCATGCCCATGCCTATGCCCATGCCTATGGCCATGCCCATGCCTGTGCCCATGCATATGCCCATGCCTATGCCCATGCCTATGCCCATGCCCTTGCCCCATGCCTATGCCCATGCCTATGCCCATGCCCTTGCCCCAAGCCCTCGTGCCACTCCAGGCCCAGCGCACCTCAGTGGCTTCTCCTGCTGCTGCACCTCCATGCTTTCGTATCCACATGCTCCTGCTGCTCGGGCCATCCACATGCTCTCATGCATGCACTCACTGCCATGCCCTCATGTCCCTTCACGCCCTCCAAACCTGGTTGCCCATGGAGCATTCGTTGCTCCCATCGTGCGCCATGGAATTTTTGGTGGAATGCACCACTTGGTTCGGGGGTACTTGCTGTTCGTGAGACCCCATTCACTGCCACGCCAATGCCATACTCAAGCCCAAGCCCATGTCCATGCCCATGCCCATGCCCAAGCCTTACTCCCTTTCAAGCCCTCCTCACCTGGTCGCCCATGGAGCATTCGTTGCTCTCATCATGAGCCATGAACTTCTTGGTGGAATGCACCACCTTGGGGTACTTGCTGTGAGTGAGACATCGATCACTGCCACGCAATGCCGCTCAAGCCCATACTTGTATCATGCCCCTTCTACCATTCCTCACCTGGTCGCCCATGGCGCATTCGTTGCTCTCATCATGCGCCATGAACTTCTTGGTGGAATGCACCACCTTGGGGTACTTGCTGTGCGCCTTGAAGCGATCCACCGCCACCACCACGCTCTTCTGCATCTTGCTCGACACCACCTTGCCTATGAAGCTCCGCATAGTGTGTATGCCTATGTGTGGTGTGCCCCTCTGTCTTTGTTTGTCCCACTGTAGCTGAAAGAGGGAGGAAAGGGGAGGGGGAAGGGATGGGGAGGAAGGCATGATTTGAACCGATCCACCGCCACCATCACGCTCTTCTGCATCTTGCTTGATACCACCTTGACGATGAAGCTCCGCATTGCGTGTATGTGTCTTTATGTGTGTGGGTGCACTGAAGCATGGGAGGGAGGGGGATTTGGAAGGTACAAGGGATGGGGGCATGACTTGAATCGATCCACCGCCACCACCACGCTCTTGTGCATCCTGTTGGATACCACCTTGCCTATGAAGCTCCTCATTGTGTGTGTGGGTGTGCCACACCGTAGCTGAAATAGGAGGGAATAGAAGGGACAAGGGATTGGGGATCAGGAAAGCGATGGGAGATGGGATGGGCCATGATTTGAACCGATCCACTGCCATCACTTGCCTATGACGCTCTTAGTTGTGTGCGCGTGTGGTGCACTGAAGCTTGGGAGTGAGGGGGAAAAGAGATGGGGAAAGCACTCGGGAAAGGGACGGGAGAAAGGGTAACTGGGAGGAAGATTGTGAGGGGAAAGCGGAGGGAAAATGGTAGGGGACAGGGGAGGGAGGGGGGGGGGCGGAAAGAGGAGGGAGAAGGAGGAGGAAACGGGGAGGGGAAATGGGGAGGGGAGAGAGGAAAGAGAGGGGGAAAAGGAAGGAGACGGGAACGGGGACACGGGAGGGGAAAGATGAGGGCGAATGGGGAGGGAGAAGGGGAAGGGGAAAAAGGAGGGCAAAGGTGAGGGATAAGGGGAGGGAGAAGGGGAAGGGGAAAAGGAGGGAAAAGGTGAGGGATAAGGGGAGGGAGAAGGGGAAGGGGAAAAGGGAGGGGAGAGTCCCAACGGAGAGAGGGGGCGGCGCAAGCAGAGGGTGGGAGTCGCACAGTTGAGAGGGGGTCACAAGGGCTACACGATTTTGCGACAAAGGAGGAACACGGTGACGAGGGGATAGAAGAACGACTTTCCAATCGACTCATATGTCACCTCTTTTAAGTCGACTCGAAAGGGGATGGGGGAGCGACGCGTGGGCGTGGCAACGAGAGCAAGGCGAGTGGGGAATGATGGTGAAGGGGGAAAAGAGGTTGACGGTTGGGTGTCGATCAGGACGACACGGAAACGAATGAACGGTGAGTAGAAGGCGGCAGGGATGAGTACGTGAGGCGGTCGGAGGGTGTGGGGGGGGAGACTACGTTATGAAAAGCCGCAAGGCAACGCCTCGCAGAGTGGCATTCGCACCTGGTGGATTACGGAAAGCGTGGGGGTTCAAAATGGCACTATGAGGAGAGCGATGCGATCTTAAACAGCCCCGTTTCGGTCAGATCCTGTACCGGCACGCTCGGTCAACTAGTCGTACTTCAGTAAGTGCCGGCACGTCGAACCAACCTAGAAATGCTTCGATTTAGGTATTAAGGGAGGTACCAAATGAATATATAACCTGGAATCAGCTCGTTTTTTTCACGTAACTCGAAAGGGAATTTGGTCGGAACGTCGCAGGGAGGTCGCGTTCATGCGTTACATGTTGGGAGCAGTCCGTGTCACCCGAGGCCGAATTAGGGTTTTGTTGAGCTCCTCGGTTACAGTCTGCAGCCTTTCTATTCCCGTATATTCGGGTTACAGCATCACATTACTTCTTCGCATGGACGAACATTTGTGGCTACCCTTTTGCATTCTAACAGGTTCGTTTCCCTCCACTTAGTGGTCGGCGACACCAGTGGATATCGCCACCACCTGATCGTACACCCGTTTTGGCCGCCATGTCAGCTCAACTGGAAACTGGACGATTTGGCACGCCGCTAGGGTGGTTGGGTCACTCGCGGACTGGGGATCTCCGTGACACGAATTCGTAGGAACGCGGATTCAGAAATGAGTGGAGCAAGCCGACGAGCACCCATCTCCTCGCATCATGTCTACTGCAAACTGATAACCAAGATTTTACGCTTCTTGTCATCAGTGCATTTCCTGCTTCTATGTAGTAGATTTGCCTCTCGCTTGTCCTTCATTCCATTGCGCTTCCTTCACGTATCTGACGTCGTACTGTTCCTTCCCATCTCCTCGCATCTCTGCTCGCGTACATCAATCTCTCTCTATTCTATCAATCACGAGTCGCGGAGCAATTTGTGTCGCGATTCGTCCAATCTCCGCCGTTCGAGCCTTTCAGCTACACTTGTTTCACCCACAGTGGTGACATAGTCACGCAGCTGTCCTTCATAGTCGCATAGCTGCCGTTTGTATCGGATACCTGTCGTTCACAGTCGCACAGCTACCGTTCGTAGTCGCACAACTCATCGTAGCTACGCGTCGCACAACTATCGTGCATAGCAATCGCATCTGTCGCTTGCCCCATCGCAGCTGTCGCTTACCTCATCGCAGCTGTTGCTACCCCATCGCGGCTGTCGCTTACCGAAATCGCAGCTCAGCTGGTTTGGTAACAATGGCGTTTGGCGAAATCGTGGGCACGTCGTTGGAGGTCCCACGAGTGACGTCGACGCTGCGAGTGCTGGTGCGAGATGGTGGGCGTCCGTTCGACGTGGATCAGCAGCTGCTACAGCGAAAACAGGCTCTCTCGCTGCGAAGGTACGAAAAACGTGGTTACCAGACAGTTTTTGCTTCGTGAGTGACGGACGAGGAAATTCAGGGAGATCAACGAACTGCAGTATGTTGGTGGTATGTGCGAGCGTTACTGATACCTGGTTGCACCTCCGTTTGTTCTTTTCATCCCAAGACTCACGTTGGTTGTTTCGTTTTGTTTCCTTTCTCTTGCACATGTGGATTAACCAATCAACATACTCACCCTTTTGCAGCACAACTGTCGCGCATTTTTCCTTCCCGCACATTCCCATGGCCTTCTTCTTTGTTCTGAAGCAGCTCGGCTGGCGCCATGTCAGCAGAAGCAGGCCACGTGGCACCAGCAGTGGGTGCCACGACACTGGCGCAGCGACTGGTTCCTGAGTGGGAGAAAGGTGAGCCGTTGATGGGAACTATATCCTATTGCTGTGACTGTGGTACTGTTACTGGTGATGGCATGGCGGGATCTGGAAGATCTGGTGAAATTGGTGAAGAATTTCCTTTTCCTTCCCCTTCCATTCTGTTCCCTTCCCCTTCCTTTGTCTTCCCTTACCCTATTTCTACAGCTCCCGCTAGTGTTCGAGAGGCGTACGAGTCGTTCCTAGTGGCCGTCCAATCGCTGCTCGCCACGGAGGTCTCTTCTGCCGACCTGCACGAGGCAGCAGGGGCGGCGTTTGACTGCATTGACCGCCAGCTCAGAGCAAGGCGGGAGAAGCAGGCAGGGGAAGAGGCTGCAGGAGAGGAGGGAGGCCATTCGGATGGTCTTGCCGGGGCCTTGAGCGAGGCCGATTCGCTCTCAGATGCTGATTTGGGCAGCATAAGGTGGGTGGGGTTGCATGTTATGGATGGGTGTGGTTGCATGTTCAGGTGGCCACTCAGATCAGGTTTTGTCTCAGCTCCTGAACCTCAATAGGGAGGTGCAGGGGGGGGGGGGGGGGAGATCGGCCGCGGTTGATGTTGTAGGAGATCATCCTTTCATCCTTTCACCCTCCTTGGTCTGACCCCGTTCCCGCTATTGTTGTCCGTGTTGCTTCTGCATCTCCCTTTCGTCCCTTCTCTCCCCCCAAATCTGCTCTCTCTGACCTCCTCGGTCTCATCTCCTCCGACCTTCCCCTCGTCCGCCGAACAGTCTCCCTTACTATTGCTGCTTGCCAGGCTGGCAGCGCACTTAACCTCACCCGGAAATTCCCCCTAAACCAGAAACCCTGTTGACGGTGTTGCTTCTACATCCATGATCCATCCACCCTTATCCCTTGTGGTTTCCCCCAGATCTGCTCTCTCTGACCTCCTCGGTCTTGTCTCCTCCGACCTTCCCCTCATCCGCCGAGCAGCCTCTCTTTTCCTCCAGCTGCTCGCCTGGCAGCGCACCCACCGCTCCCAACCGCACCACCAGCACCAGCACCGCTCTGCACCGCACCAAGAACCTTCAGACTCCTTCATGTTCGGTGCGGACGTGCCCTTCCAGGTGCCTGGTGCTGGCCTAGATGGTAACCAGCTGCTACAGCAGTTCTGGGAGGAGGCCAGGGCCCGGACTCAGGCACAGGCTCAGGTGGATTCTCAGGTGGAATTCCAGGTGCCAGCCCAGGTGCAGGCCCAGGTGCCAGAGCACCGTTTCACACATGAAACGCCTGTTACAGGTGCTTCTCCTGACGCCTCTGGTGGTGCGTATAGCTCTGCGGATGGTGCTGGTGGTGGTGATGTTGGTGGGAGTAAGGAGGGGGAGGAGGGCCCACGGGACCTGAGGTGGCTGCACCAGTCGTGTGTGGAGGCGGCTCAGTGGGGGGGAGGGGCGCAGCTGACTGCTGACGAGCTGTCTCTGGCTGTGCTCAAGCTCATGCAATCCCCGGGGTCTGGAGATGAGGTACGGCTGAGGGGAAGGGAGGGGGGTTGAGAGGGGGATGTTGTGTTTTTTTCGGCATGGAGGGGAGGAGCGCAACTAACTGCTGACGAGCTGTCTCTGGCTGTGCTGAAGCTCATGCAATCCCCGGGGTCTGGAGATGAGGTAGGGAAGGGGGGAGTCGGGAAGGGGGTGTGAGAGGGGGATGCTGGTGTGTGGCTGTGAGAATGGAGGGCAGCTGACTGCTGACGAGCTGTCTCTGGCTGTGCTCAAGCCCATGCAATCTCCGGGGTGTGGAAATGAGGTATGGAGGGCGTGCGAGAGGAGGGAGAAGGGGTGTTGGAGGAGGTGTGTGTGTCTCTGTGCGCATCTGCGGAATTTAGAGTCGCGTGCCAATACGGAGGGGGAGGGGTGGCAGCTCACTGCTGATGACGAGCTGACTTTGGCTGTGCTCAAGCTCATGCAATCACTGGGGTCCACTTGTATGTGCGCGCATGCATGCATGCATGCATGTGTGCGTTCTTGGGTGTGTGTGCGTATGTGCATGCTTGCGTGTTCTCATCCATGTGCATGTGTCTGCATGTGTCTTTGTTGTGCATGTGTGAATGCATGTGTCCATGCATGTGTCCATGCATATGCATGTGCATGTGCATGTGCATGAGCGTGTGAGGTTGCGTGTGCGTGTGCGTGTGCGTGCATGCACGTGTTTGTGTGTTTTTATGTGTAATCAGGTGGCAGGTGAGCTGTTCAACCTGGTGGGCGATCAAGGCTTCGAGTTCATCCAGCAACTACTGCAGGTACCATTGTGTTTGCATGCACGCTGATCTGGTACCAAGCTTGCCTGTTGCTACAGTTACCTGCATGTGCCTCGTGTCATCTGCAACTCCTCAGGTGCTTGTGCTTGTGCTCTCTTGGGGACACCTGTGCTGTGCTTTCAGATGTTGCCACATGCCGCACCGCCGCACCTCGCTACGGTCACCGTGCAGACCGACTCTGAGTATGAAGAAGTGTTTTGAGATGTCTCAAAACACTTCTTCATACATGCGGCACAGCCGCACCGCGCTGCGCTACGGTCACCGTGCACACCGACTCTGAGGAGCAGCTGGAGAAAGCTGGAAACACCCAGCACCTCTGTATCTTCCCTTCTCATCCCCCTTCTCCCCTTCCGCCCCCACTCCCCCCCCCCCCCCCACCTCGTCACTGCTCCCTTCTTCCACCAGCATCGCAAGGTGCTGGTGTCTGCGGCTCAGTCGGCGCTCTCAGCTTTAAAAGAAGCAGTCGAGGCGGATGCAGCAAGCAGCGGCACCAGCAACAGCCACATGCGGCACGGCGCGACAGTCACCGTGCAGACCGAGTCAGAGAAACAGCTGGAGAAGCTCCGAAAGAAAGAGGACAAGAAAATTGCTCGTGCCGCCGCGAAAACTGGAGGAGGCGGGGGAGTGGGGGGAGGAGCGGGGAGAGGGGGGGTAGAGGGGGAGCTAGCATGGTTGCTAGGCGCAGGGGGGTTTTCAGCACTGGTGGAGGCTGGGGAGAATAAAGTCGGAGGGGTGATTGATGCTCTGATTGGTACAGGGGATGATGCTGTACCTGTGAGGGCGCTGCCTGTGGGGACCAAGAGGAAGGCTTATAAGGGGTATGAGGAGGTGCATGTGCCGCCGGCTGTGGCGGAGGGGGGCGCGGGGAGGGCACAGGAGAAGCTGGTGAGGGTGGGGGAGATGGAGCCGTTCGCTCAGAAGGCGTTTGAGGGGTTTCAGACTCTCAACCGTATTCAGAGCCGCATCTACCAGCGTGCTTTCTACTCCAATGAGAATCTTCTGGTAAGGGAAAGGCTTATAAGGGGTATGAGGAGGTGAATGGGATTTCAGACGCTCAACCGCATCCAGAGCCGCATCTACCAGCGTGCTTTTTACTCCAATGAGAACCTCCTGGTATGTGTTCCAAGAGAAGGCTCATAAGGTGTATGAGGATAGGAGGTGCATGGGGTTCTGAGGGAAGAGAGCACAGGAGAAGCTGGTGAGGGTGGGTGAGATGGAACCGTTCGCTCAGAAGGCGTTTGAGGGGTTTCAGACTCTCAACCGCATTTATTAACGTGCCTTCCACTCCAGTGAGAACCTCCTGGTAAGATTAGGGCTTCAAAGGGGTATGCGAAGATTCATGTGTACGGGGGGCTTTCAGTCAGATGCTCAAGCGCGTTGAGAACCGCAAATGCCAGCGCGCCTTCTGTTCCACTGAGAATCTTCTGGCGTGTAAGTGGAAGGCCAATAACGGGTATGAGGAGGTGCATATGCATGGGCTTTCAAACGCTCAACCGCATCTATTGCCGCATTTGGGGCTTCAAACCCTAAACCCAAACTTTGAACCCTTGGGTGGCATTGCTGTCAGTTTTTAGTCTAGAGAATAAAAACAAAACCTGGTCGCTTCTCACCCGTATTCACAGGTGTGTGCGCCAACCGGAGCAGGCAAGACCAACATTGTCGTGTGCCATAGTAACGAGGTGACTTTTGAGTCGACTCAAAAGCCGGTTGCTTTGATTCTCACCCGTATTCACAGGTGTGTGCGCCAACCGGAGCAGGCAAGACCAACATTGCGATGATCACAGTTCTGCATGAGGTGGGGAAATCATTAGCTGGTGTACTGAGGGGTGGTGTGGTGTTAAGTGGTGGCACTTTTCTTCGCTTTATAAGTAAGGTGAAGATTTAGGGGGGTTTAAGATGTGCTATGTGTTGAGTTTTTTTCACACTGGCTCTGTACGAGGTAGCGTTCTTCAGTGAAAACCAAAGTCTGAACTGAACTTCACTTCACATTCACATCACATCACACACTCCCGTACTGGGTGACCCAACCATCGTTGATTCGAGTGCTATAATTGACTACTTCACATTACACCACTCACTCATCCATCGTTCCTCCGTAACAGGTCGGAGCCAATTTCAAGAACGGGGTGCTGCAGAAGAATGACTTCAAGATCGTTTATGTGGCTCCCATGAAGGTGGGTGGCGGCTATGGTGTGGCAAGACTTGGCTGCTGCACGAGAGGGTTCACACATGTAATAAAAAGCATTATAAAGAACGACTTAAAGATTGTCTACGTGGCTCCTATGAAGGTGAGTGGTGGTGCTGGTGGGAAGAGGTCGTTTTTGAGGCGCCTCAAAAACGACCTCAGTGCTGGTGGGAAGAGTAGGCTCAGCGGCGAGCATGCTTTGCCTGCTTTGGTGCGCAATGGTTAGCAAGGGCTTACACATGTAGGGAGAAGGAAAAGCAAATGTTGGTGTGTTATGGACACATATCCTCTTTTCGTTCTTGACCGTGCGTGATGCATTTGTGTGTGTGGTTTCCCCTTCCCGACAGGCGCTAGCAGCAGAGATGGCAGCAGCGTTTGGGAGGCGGCTGGCCCCTCTGGGGCTGGCGGTGCGAGAGCTGACTGGCGACATGCAGCTGACCAAGAGGGAGATGGAAGAGACGCAGGTGAGGAGGGGTTGTACAGGCAGGCAGACAGACAGACAGATAGACGGACGGATAGTCAGGCGGACGGACGGACGGACAGACAGTTGGTAGTGCAGCTCACTGGCGGCATGCCAGTGTCTTGCTGAGATGCTGAGATGCTCTCCTCTTTTCCCCGCTCCTCATCCCACCTGCTTGCATCAGATGATCATGACGACGCCTGAGAAGTGGGGCATAATAGTCGACCCAAAAGTCAACTCTGATATTATCTCCTCATTCCACCCACTCCTTGTTGACTTTTGAGTCGACTCAGAAGTCAACTCTGATATTATCTCCTCATTCCACCCACTCCTTGTTGACTTTTGAGTCGACTCAGAAGTCAACTCTGATATTATCTCCTCATTCCACCCACTCCTTGTTGACTTTTGAGTCGACTCAGAAGTCAACTCTGATATTATCTCCTCATTCCACCCACTCCTTGTTGACTTTTGAGTCGACTCAAAAGTCAACTCTGATATTATCTCCTCATTCCACCCTCTCCTTGTTGACTTTTGAGTCGACTCAGAAGTCAACTCTGATATTAACTCCTCATTCCACCCATTCCTTCTGCGCTTCAGATGATCGTGACGACACCCGAGAAGTGGGATGTGATCACGAGAAAGAGCTCAGATGTGTCGATGGCGTCGCTGGTGCGCCTACTGGTGATCGACGAGGTGCATCTGTTGAATGACGACCGAGGACCCGTGATTGAGACCCTGGTGGCGCGCACCTTGAGACAGGTGGGTTTTTGAAATTACTCGAAAGGCTGCTGCTGCCCCTCCAGTTGCGTATGCTCAGATGTGTTGGCTTGCTGGCGCTGCTGGTGCGCCTGCTGGTGATCGACGAGGTGCATCTGTTGAATGACGACCGAGGACCCGTGATTGAGACACTGGTTGCACGCACGTTGAGACAGGTGGGTGTTAGAAATGACTCGAAAGGCTGCTGCTGCCCCTCCAGATGCAAAAGTTTAGATGTGTTGTGTGAATGGCATCGCTGGTGCAATTGCTGGTGGTCAACGAGGTGCATCTGCTGAATGACGACCGCGGGCCCGTGATTGAGACGCTAGTGGCACGCACCTTAAGGCAGGTGGGTGCTGAGTCGCGCCTTATGGCGTCACTGGTGCGCCTGCTGGTGGTCGGCGAGGTGCATCTGTTGAATGACGACCGTGGGCCTGTGATTGAGACGCTAGTGGCACGCACCTTAAGGCAGGTGGGTGCTGAGTCGCTCCTTATGGCGTCACTGGTGCGCCTGCTGGTGGTCGGCGAGGTGCATCTGTTGAATGACGACCGTGGGCCTGTGATTGAGACGCTAGTGGCACGCACCTTAAGGCAGGTGGGTGCTGAGTCGCTCCTTATGGCGTCACTGGTGCGCCTGCTGGTGGTCGGCGAGGTGCATCTGTTGAATGACGACCGTGGGCCTGTGATTGAGACGCTAGTGGCACGCACCTTAAGGCAGGTGGGTGCTGAGTCGCTCCTTATGGCGTCACTGGTGCGCCTGCTGGTGGTCGGCGAGGTGCATCTGTTGAATGACGACCGTGGGCCTGTGATTGAGACGCTAGTGGCACGCACCTTAAGGCAGGTGGGTGCTGAGTCGCTCCTTATGGCGTCACTGGTGCGCCTGCTGGTGGTCGGCGAGGTGCATCTGTTGAATGACGACCGTGGGCCTGTGATTGAGACGCTAGTGGCACGCACCTTAAGGCAGGTGGGTGCTGAGTCGCTCCTTATGGCGTCACTGGTGCGCCTGCTGGTGGTCGGCGAGGTGCATCTGTTGAATGACGACCGTGGGCCTGTGATTGAGACGCTAGTGGCACGCACCTTAAGGCAGGTGGGTGCTGAGTCGCTCCTTATGGCGTCACTGGTGCGCCTGCTGGTGGTCGGCGAGGTGCATCTGTTGAATGACGACCGTGGGCCTGTGATTGAGACGCTAGTGGCACGCACCTTAAGGCAGGTGGGTGCTGAGTCGCTCCTTATGGCGTCACTGGTGCGCCTGCTGGTGGTCGGCGAGGTGCATCTGTTGAATGACGACCGTGGGCCTGTGATTGAGACGCTAGTGGCACGCACCTTAAGGCAGGTGGGTGCTGAGTCGCTCCTTATGGCGTCACTGGTGCGCCTGCTGGTGGTCGGCGAGGTGCATCTGTTGAATGACGACCGTGGGCCTGTGATTGAGACGCTAGTGGCACGCACCTTAAGGCAGGTGGGTGCTGAGTCGCTCCTTATGGCGTCACTGGTGCGCCTGCTGGTGGTCGGCGAGGTGCATCTGTTGAATGACGACCGTGGGCCTGTGATTGAGACGCTAGTGGCACGCACCTTAAGGCAGGTGGGTGCTGAGTCGCACCTTATGGCGTCACTGGTGCGCCTGCTGGTGGTCGGCGAGGTGCATCTGTTGAATGACGACCGTGGGCCTGTGATTGAGACGCTAGTGGCACGCACCTTAAGGCAGGTGGGTGCTGAGTCGCTCCTTATGGCGTCACTGGTGCGCCTGCTGGTGGTCGGCGAGGTGCATCTGTTGAATGACGACCGTGGGCCTGTGATTGAGACGCTAGTGGCACGCACCTTAAGGCAGGTGGGTGCTGAGTCGCTCCTTATGGCATCACTGGTGCGCCTGCTGGTGGTCGGCGAGGTGCATCTGTTGAATGACGACCGTGGGCCTGTGATTGAGACGCTAGTGGCACGCACCTTAAGGCAGGTGGGTGCTGAGTCGCTCCTTATGGCGTCACTGGTGCGCCTGCTGGTGGTCGGCGAGGTGCATCTGTTGAATGACGACCGTGGGCCTGTGATTGAGACGCTAGTGGCACGCACCTTAAGGCAGGTGGGTGCTGAGTCGCTCCTTATGGCGTCACTGGTGCGCCTGCTGGTGGTCGGCGAGGTGCATCTGTTGAATGACGACCGTGGGCCTGTGATTGAGACGCTAGTGGCACGCACCTTAAGGCAGGTGGGTGCTGAGTCGCTCCTTATGGCGTCACTGGTGCGCCTGCTGGTGGTCGGCGAGGTGCATCTGTTGAATGACGACCGTGGGCCTGTGATTGAGACGCTAGTGGCACGCACCTTAAGGCAGGTGGGTGCTGAGTCGCACCTTATGGCGTCACTGGTGCGCCTGCTGGTGGTCGGCGAGGTGCATCTGTTGAATGACGACCGTGGGCCCGTGATTGAGACGCTGGTTGCACGCACCTTGAGACAGGTGGGTGGCAGAGTGGTGGGCGGTAGAGAGATAGGTGGGTGGCAGAGTGGTGGGCGGTAGATAGAGAGATAGGTGGGTGGCAGAGTGGTGGGCGGTAGAGAGATAGGTGGGTGGCAGAGTGGTGCGCGGTAGAGAGATAGGTGGGTGGCAGAGTGGTGCGCGGTAGAGAGATAGGTGGGTGGCAGAGTGGTGGGCGGCAGAGGGTGGGCGGCAGAGGGTGGGCGGCAGAGGGTGGGCGGCAGAGGGTGAGCGGCAGAGGGTGGGCGGTAGAGAGGTGGGCGGTGGAGAGGTGGGTGGTAGAGAGATGGGCGATGCAAGCCGTGTCAGGCAGGTAGCCGCTCAGGTTGGTATTAGCAAGCTCATGGATTGCATGCTACTTGCTGCATGATCGTCCATCTTTTATACCATGCGCCTGCCGTGATTGACTTATTATGCTTGATGCGGCATGATCGATGGGGCATGGTAATCAATCGTGGACCGGCCAACATCTATGTGCCGTCGTGGTTACTTTGTGTGTGTGTGTGTGTGTGTGTGTGTGTGTGTGTGTGTGTGTCTGTGCGTGTGTGTGTGTCTGTCTGTTTGTGTGTGTGTGTGTGTGTGTCTGTCTGTTTGTGTGTGTGCCTCACAATGGCTGTGGCAGGTGGAAAGCTCGCAGAGCATGATTCGCATCGTGGGCCTCTCGGCAACGCTGCCCAACTACACAGAGGTGAGCTGATGGGCTGCTTGGGGTTGATGGGCTGATGATATGGGCTGATGGTCTGATGAAAACAGTAATTGGCTGGACGAATGTAGTCCTATGATGCTGGTTCACAACCTATCTTTGTTCGTTCTCCTTTTGTCTATCTTTGCTGAAAACCTTTCTTCCCCATTGTCCCTGTCATCTCTCCTTAACCTGTTCATATGCTCATCACGTCCCCCCTCTGATCAAATTAGGAAGCATTCGTGCGTGACACTTTGCTGTGCTGTTTCCTCTCCTCCCCACTTCACACACACAAACAGGTGGCACAGTTCTTGCGGGTCAACCTCGACATGGGGCTCTTCTATTTCGACGCCTCCTACTGCCCCGTGCCGCTCTCCCAGCAGTACATTGGCGACTCCCTGTGTCTCTTAACCCTCCCTTTACCCTGCGCCATTCACACACCCACAGGTGGCACAATTCCTGCGGGTCAACCTCGACACGGGTCTATTCTATTTCGACGCCTCCTACCGCCCCGTGCCGCTCTCCCAGCAGTACATCGGCGTCTCCGAACCCAACTTCGCCCGCCGCAACACCCTCATGCACGAGATTGCGTATGAGAAGGTGTGTTTGGAGTTGACTCAAGGTGTGTCTAGGGCTGGTTCAAAGCTCTCACAGCAGTACATTGGGGTCTCTGAACCCAACTTTGCTCGCCGCGACACCCTCATGCACGAGATTGCGTATGAGAAGGTGTGTTTGGAGTTGACTCAAGGTGTGTCTAGGGCTGGTTCAAAGCTCTCACAGCAGTACATTGGGGTTTCTGAACCCAACTTTGCTCGCTGCAACACCCTCATGCACGAGATTGCGTATGAGAAGGTGGGTGGGTAAGCACGAGGAGTTATTACATCCATGAGTGAGAGTTTCCACGGTTGAAGACTGTAGTTAGTGCTCGTTTGAGTCTTGCTTGCATAGAGTTGGAACCCAGGCATGCACGAGACTGCAAGGTGACTTTTGAGAAGTGTGTTGTTTCTGAGGCGTTCACCCAGTCGTCCAAGGACCACTCTTTCTCACACGTACTCTTGATTACTCGAATGCTCAGGTCAGCTTCTTCACTGCATATCGGCCTTGAACCATATCGCTTTTGGCAAGCAATTAACGTGATTAAGAAGGGGAAGTAACTTCGCTGGGAGACATTCTGGAAAATGGTTCTGTAATGAGATAGATGAGATGGCTTATTATCTGCGTGGCTTTGTGTGCGTGTGACTGACTTGTTTGACCCTTATTTCGCCTTGGCAGGCAATGAATGCGGTGAAGAATGGGAAGCAGGCGATGGTGTTTGTGCATTCCAGGAAGGACACCGTTAAGACTGCGAGGATACTGGTGTGTGCTGTGCCGTGCAATCACCACGTGCATTTGAAACTGCGCTATTATCACATCCTGCTGCCATGAGTCGTGTGTTGAGTCGACTCAAAACACCATGCAATCACCACGTGCATTTGAAGCTGTGCTATTATCGCATCCTGCTGCCCTGCCATGAGCATCACTGCTGGGAACGTGTGAGCTTCCTTGCTGAGTATTTTTGAGAATTCTAAAAAATACTTGAGAATTCTCAAAAATACTCTGCTGGGAACGTGTGAGCTTCCTTGCTCATCCCTCTCATTTCAAGTCATAACCTGATCGCACCATCCGTCACCACCCATCACCACCCATCACCATCTGTCACCAATTGTCACCACCCTGTCCCTTCAGATGGAAACGGCGCAGAGGAACGGAGAGTCGGAGCTGTTCAACCCGCAGGAGCAGCCACAGTACAAACTCATGGAGGTGCGGCGTGGCAGGGATGTATTTTCTAGGCCCTGGAAAGAAATGGTACAGCAGTACCATCTCTTTCCGCAGTACAAACTCATGGAGGTGCGGTGTGGCAGAGATGGTACAGCAGAGATGTGCAGTGCTGCTCTGTGGTGGTGCGGTGACTGTGTTTGAAGATTGGTGCAGAGGAGTGGCGAGGTAGAGTGGAGCTGTTCGACCCGCAAGAGCAGCCACATACAAACTCATGGAGGTATGGTACTGTAGATATGGTACGGTGGCAGCTGCAGTGCAAGCAAGCTCATGGAGAAGATAAGGATTAGGGGGATGTGATGTGGGAGATGGCGAAGCTCTCTTGACCGTCCCCTTACCCCTTTGCTTTCTCCCACTTCTCTCACCCTTCTGTCCCCCTTCTCTCCCACTTCTCCCACCTGAGCAGGAGGAGGTGATGAGGTCGCGCAACAGGGAGATGGGGAGCTCTTCCTTGCGGCCATGCTCCACTCACTCTCTCACTCACTCACTCACTCACGTCCTCACTCTCTCACTCACTCACTCACTCACTCACCCATACCCTTGCACACCCTCCCCTCCCCGCTCCACTTCTCTCCCCTTTTCCCTCACTTTCCACACCAACAGAAGGACGTGATGAGGTCGCGCAACAGGGAGATGGGGGATCCTTCAGGCTGGATTCAGCATCCACCATGCCGGCATGCTGCTCTCTGCTGTGCTCATCCCCTTCTCTGCTTTGCTGTTTCTCCCCCTCGCCCCCACCAACTCAAACAGAAGGATGTGATGAGGTCGCGCAACAGGGAGATGGGGGAGCTCTTCCAGGCGGGCTTCGGCATCCACCATGCCGGCATGCTGCGCCCCGACCGCTCTCTCACAGAGAAGCTCTTCAGCATGGGGCTCATCAAGGTATGATGGGAGATGGGAGGGTGTGCGTGTGTAGGAATAGCATCGAGGTCGTAGGCTGCGCATCTGCCTATGTGCGAAGAGCATCCACCATGCCGGCATGCTGCGCCCCGACCGCTCGCTCACTGAAAACCTCTTCAGCATGGGGCTCATCAAGGTGCGATGAGAGGGCATGTGTGAGATGGGTATGGGTAGTAGCAGCATCAAGGTCATAGGTGAGCGTATATGCGTACATAGTGAGTGGGAGCTCGATGCCCTTGTGGGGATGCTGCGCATGGACCCCTCTCTCACAGAGAAGCTCTTCAGCATGGGGCTCATCAAGGTGATTGTGTGAGATGGTGGAATTTGTGTGTGTAAGAATGGCATCGAGGTCGTAGGCTAGTGAGAGTATGCGCATCTGCCTAGGTGCAAAGTGCATCCACCATGCTGGCATGCTGCGCCCTGACCGCTCGCTCACAGAGAAGCTCTTCAGCATGGGGCTCATCAAGGTGCGGGTGGGAGGGAGGGGTTGTGTGGTTGAGATCAAGTGCATGCTCACCGCACTTACACAAAGGGCACACAGCGAGCATCCACCATGCAGGCATGCTGCACCCCGACCGCTCGCTCACAGAGAAGCTCTTCAGCATGGGGCTCATCAAGGTGAGGCTGGGATTGAGGGCATGTGACGTGTTCATATACACGTGCATGCATAAGGTGGTGCACAGCTAGCATGAGACATGTGACATGCTGCGCCCCGGCCACTCGCTCATAGAGAAGCTCTTCAGCATGGGACTCATCAAGGTGAGATGTATCAGTTGTATGACGAGCATCAAGGTTGCCAGGAGGCCGTGGCCTGGCTCGTTCCGCCTTATTTAGCCTCATCATCTCGTCAAACCCACCCAATTCCTCCTGCTTGCTATCTCCACCCAAGAATTTCAACAACGCTTCATTGGCGTTGACTGTCACCATCTCACAGTTCCTCCATTGAAGATCAATATTCAGATCATGGAGAGAAGTTAGGAATTCAACAAGAAGGTCTATGAATATTCTGGTCGAGTCCCTCTAGGTGGGTGTTTTGATAAGAGCAATCTTTAGATGTTGTATGTCATGTTGACAACTTTTTTCTTGCAGTGACGGAGTTGCTCCATCCTCTTGTGGAAGAACATTGTCATTCTTTATCCTACGTTTTTTACAAAAGATTTCATCGGGAGACTAGTCGTTTCTCCACGTCGTTCGAAATTCGGCTTCCTCCTAAGCTTGACTATCCAGGTGGCATTTTGAATCAGCAACCTAGTGCTCCTCTTCCGAGCCAAGGCATGCGGAAGGTGGAGCCGCTACGGGACAGCGATTTCGTCAATGTTCCGAACAGGACCAGGACCAGCACATACACCTCTGAAGAGTACAACAAGGCATGGGGTCTTGGAAAGCTTTTACGTGCTGAGAGAGCTTCTGGGCCCGAGCAAATTTCCGTACCAAGAGGCAGTCATGCTTATGTGGATTACTTGTAAGAAAAGCAATGTGATGAAGCTGGGAAAACTGCAACTCAGAGAAAATCAGCGAGAATGTTCACACTAGAGTTGTTAGCTTGTTGTTTCAGTACACATTTGCAAGGCTGTTTGGAACTTCAACTTCAGGCTAGCGCATTTTTTACAAGCCTTGCAAATGTGTATTGAAACAACAAGCTAACAGCTCTAGTGTGAGCATTCTCGCTGATTTTCTCTGAGTTGCAGTTTTTTCCAGCTTCATCACATTGCTTTTCTTACAAGTAATCCACATAAGCATGACTGCCTCTCGGTATGGAAATTTGCTCGGAACCAAAAGCTCTCTTAGCACGTAAAAGCTTTCCAAGACCCCATGCCTTGTTGTACTCCTCAGAGGTGTATGTGCTGGTCCTGGTCCTGTTCGGAACATTGACGAAATCGCTGTCCCGTAGCGACTCCACCTTCCGCATGCCTTGGCTCGGAAGAGGAGCACTAGGTTGCTGATTCAAAATGCCATCTGGATAGTCAAGCTTAGGAGGAAGCCGAATTTCGAACGACGTGGAGAAACGACTAGTCTCCCGATGAAATATTTTGTTAAAAACGTAGGATAAAGAAGGACAATGTTTTTCCACAAGAGGCTGGAGCAACTCCGTCATTGCAAGAAAAAAGTTGTTAACATGACATACAACATCTAAAGATTGCTCTTATCAAAACACCCACCTGGAGGGACTCAAACAGAATATTCATAGTCCTTCTTGTTGAATTCCTAACTTCTCTCCATGATCTGAATATTGATCTTCAATGGAGGAACCGTGAGATGGTGACAGTCAACGCCAATGAAGTGTTGTTGAATTCTTGGGTGGAGATAGCAAGCAGGAGGAATTGGGAGGGTTCGACGAGATGATGAGGCTAAATAAGGCGGAACGAGCCAGGCCACGGCCTCCTGGCAGGTGACGAGCCAGGTTTGTGAGGGTCCACGCACCTGCCTATATGCACAGGGTGTCAGCACGGGATGGCATGCTGCGCCTGGATCTCTCGCTCACATAGAAGCTCGTCAGCATGGGGCTCATCAAGGTGCGATGCAAGGGCATGTGTGAGATGGGTATGGATAGTAGCAGCATCAAGGTCACACCATATAGTGCACATGAACCAAACCATATAGTTTTCTTTTCTCCGTTTGTTCGCTCACTGAGAGTCACCAGATGGTATGGCATGTTCTTCAGCATGGAGCTCACTAACAAGGTGAGATGGGGACGTGTGCATACGTATGATCCTATAGAACTTTCCTTCTTGTACGTGAAGGTGAGGGCGCAAATGTGTACGCATGGAATGGATTGAGACAGGCCGCTCTCCTCAACTCTCGTTTCTTTCCAGTGCTGTTTAATTCGCCTGTGAACCACTTCTCATCCTCTCTCGCTCACTTGCTCCCCCTCTGTTGTTCTCTCAATGGCTCTCTGTCACGTGGCTGCACGTCCATTGAGATGTACACTCAACGCGCTCTTGCTCTCCTCCCCATCCGTTCGCCTATCCCACCCCATCGCAGGTGCTTGTGTGCACAGCCACGTTGGCATGGGGAGTTAACCTGCCGGCCCACACTGTCATTATCAAGGTGCGTCTTTCAATAGTGGCAGCTACTAAGTAGCCCATTGAAGGAATTAACAGGTAGGGGGTTTTCTTTCTGAAAAAATATCAAATCTAACGTTCCGGCTCGCATATTCATTATCGAAGTGCGTCTAATCTGTAGCCAGGTAGCCCTTTGGAAAGTTACACATGGATGGTTTCGGTTCGCAGCAAGCCACGAGTCTCTTTCTAACCTCTTCCATTCTCAAAAGTGACACGTCCACAATTTGTATCTAAAATCTTATGGAGACCCCTCTCCTTTCTCCCCTCGTCCCCCCTCTCCCTCCCTCCCCGCCAACAGGGCACTCAACTGTACGATGCCAAGGTTGGCGGTTTCCGGGAGCTGGGGATGCTCGATGTGATGCAGGTGAGATGAGTTTCTGCGAGGTGCAATGCGGTGCTGTGTGGCGCAGTGAGCATGCTGGATGTGATGTGATGCAGGTTGGGGAGATGAGATGATGAGGTGTGCAGTGCAGTGCTGTGTGGTGCAGCAGAAGGAAGGATACAGGCATGGGCATGCGTCGTTTATGCAAGCTGTTTCATCGCCCTTAGACGTGGCATGGGCCCACGTTTGCATCATGTTTTGCTGCCTTCCCTTTCGCCGAGCACTCAACTCAGTCACTCAGAGGTTTCAAGCCGTGCCTTTTTGTTTGTGTTCTCTCACAGATCTTCGGCAGGGCTGGTCGGCCACAGTTTGAGTCGAGTGGGGAGGGCATAATCGTCACAAACTGTGGTTTGTTCTCTCACAACCAGCTCGCTCACTGCCTCCGCACCTAAGTCCTCTCTCTCAACGCCCCCCTTGTGCAACCATCCGTTTCCATCCCCCCACGTGCAGATCTTCGGTCGAGCAGGGCGGCCGCAGTTTGACTCAAGTGGGGAGGGCATCATCATCACGGCCCACAACCAGCTTGCACACTACCTCCGCCTCATGACCCACCAACTGCCCATCGAGTCGCAGGTGAGTAGAGACTCAGCTCAGGTGTAGCATCAGGTTGTTTTGAATCTCAGGTGATTACAACGGGTCTCAGGAGATTAGAGGCGCAGTCCTGTGACCTCTGGTGTTTTTTTATCTCAGATACATACGACGAGTCTCAGTTAATCACAATTCTCATATGATTGCTTAGGTGAGTACTTGGGTTGGGTCCCATAGGGTGGTTTTGTTGGTCGATTCCACTTGAGTTTGTGGCCAATCACGAGGTGTCATAGCATTCTGAAGCTGGCGGGCGGTGCTGCGGAGTGCGCTTCTCGTTCCTTCGCCTCACATGCACTTCCCCTCCCTCTTTCGCCACCACCCCATCCTTTCCCCCCCCAGTTTGTGGCGATGCTGAAGGACAATCTGAATGCGGAGGTGGTGCTGGGGACGGTCACCAACGTGAAGGAGGCGTCAGCCTGGCTGGGGTACACGTACACATACCTGGGGTACACCGTACACGTACCTGGGGTACACCGTACACGTACCTGGGGTACACCGTACACATACCTGGGGTACACCGTACACGTACCTGGGGTACACCGTACACGTACCTGGGGTACACGTATCTGTTCGTGCGCATGCAGGCCAACCCAAGTCGTGGGGCGCCTCAAAACAGGTTACGCTGGGGATGGCACTCCCTATCCTCTTCTTTCTGTCATACACCTCTCAACGTTTTCGTTACTCCCCATCTCTATCCCCTCCGTCTCAGTTCGTGGCGATGCTGAAGGACAATCTGAACGCGGAGGTGGTGCTGGGGACAGTGACTAACGTAAAGGAGGCGTCGGCCTGGCTGGGGTACACGTACCTCTTCGTACGCATGCAGGCGAATCCGCTAGCGTACGGCATGACATGGCAAGATGTGAGTGCTAGGGGTTAACGGGTTGTTGTGCTGTCTGGGGCGTCGGCCTGGCTGGGATACACATACCTCTTCGTGCGCATGCAGGCCAACCCTCTGGCATACAGCATGACATGGCAGGATGTGAGTGGTAGGGTCATGGGGTTGTGCTGGGAGCAGGGTGCTGGCCTGGCTGGGGTACACGTTCCTGTTCGTGCGCATGCAGGCGAATCCGCTAGCGTATGGCATGACATGGCAAGATGTGAGTGTGATTCATCTGGGACGTGCCATGTGATTGCTTGGGTTCGTTCACCGGCCTGGCTGGGATACATGCACCTCTTTGTGCGCATGCAGGCCAACCCGCTGGCGTATGGCATGACGTGGCAAGATGTGAGTGTGACGTGGCAAGTTTTGAGTGTGGCGTGGCAAGGTGTGAGTGTGACGTGGCAAGATGTGAACGCATACGTCTTTGATGAGTCAATAATCAGTACCAATGTTGAAGGGACAATGCATGTGAAACTCTCGGTTGATACGCCGGGACAAAGATTTGCGGTATTGAGCCAGCTACCCATCTCGCCGATCCTCTCTCCCGACCCTCTCAGGTAGCCATGGATCCAGGCCTGGTGGCTCGGCGCCAGGCCTTGATCACCGAAGCTGCTCGGTCTCTGGACCGAGCCAAGATGATGAGGTTTGACGAGCGCAGCGGGCAGCTGTATGTGACTGAACTGGGGCGAGTGGCGAGTCACTTCTACATCCGATATACTTCAGTGGAGACCTATAACGAGCTGCTGCGACGACACATGAGCGAGAGCGAGGTGAGAGAGATGGCAGGGCACGGTAGGGAGGGAGTGCAGGGCACGGGAGGGAGGGAGTGCAGGGCATGGGAGGGAGGGAGGAAGTGAAGGGGAAGTAGTAGGGCTGTGGACTGGGAAAAGATTATGAGGTTTGACGAGCAGAGGGCTGCTGTATGGGGGACTGAGCTGGGGCGCGTGGCGAGTCACTTCTACATTCGATATACATCGGTGGGGACTTATAACGAGCTGCTAAGGCGACACATGAGCGAGAGCAAGGTGAGCGGGAGGGGAGAGGGAAGGGGAGATGGGGGGAGACGGTGTGGGAAAAAGGGTGGTGGAAGAGTTGCGGCTGTATGTAAGTCACAAAGATAGGGCTTACATATCCCCCAGATATCCTCGCTTCATTTCTGTTATCCTATCTCTTGCCTCCTTACTTCAAATTGTGGATTTAATACTAATAGCATGATCTTTTGAGTTTGAGAACATAGTGGTGAGAAAGGAGGAGATGAACGAGCTCTCCACCCATTCTTCCACCCTGTCTTGTAGCATAGAAAGATAGTTTCGACCCAGATCCACAGATCTTACTCGTTCTAGTTTCCTCTAGGCTCAGCCTAGAGGAGGAGATGAACGAATTCTCCACCCATCCTTTCACCCCGAATGTCGCTGTCGCTCTCCCACCTCTTCTCCCCCCAATCCCAGATCGTGGATCTGACAGCACAGTCGTTTGAATTCGAGAACATAGTGGTGCGAGTGCGGGAGGAGGAGATGTCCGAGCTCTTCACCCATCCTTCATCTTTACGCTTCTCCTCCATATCCCTCTTCCTCCCTGTCCCAGATCGTGGACCTCATAGCGCGGTCATCTGAGTTTGAGAACATAGTGGTGAGGGAGGAGGAGATGCCGGAGCTCTTCACCCTTCCCTCTCCCATGCCTCCCTTGCGTCCCTCTCGTTTTTTCCGCAACCATCCTGTCCCATATTGTGGATCTCATAGCGCGGTCATCTGAGTTCGAGAACATAGTGGTGCGAGGGGAGGAGATGCCGGAGCGCTTCACTCTTCCCTGCCCCACTTCACACACACATTCCCTCTTTCCTGTCACTCCCACCAACCCCAGATTGTGGACCTCATAGCACGGTCATCCGAGTTCGAGAACATAGTGGTGAGGGAGGAGGAGATGCCAGAGCTCTTCACTCTGCGATCCAAGTTCTGCCCGCTGGATGTGAAGGGCGGGCCGGAGGACAAGATCGGGAAGATCAACATTCTCATCCAGGCGAGTGTAGGCGGCGAATCACTGTACCGTAAGAAAGCTGATTGCCACTCAGCCAATGTTGTCATGTCAATCCTGTAAGTGCGGCCGCCTGGACGTGAAGGCCGGGCCAGAGGACAAGATCTCATTCCTTCGTCCCCCTGCCCTCTTTCCGCTCACTTCCTCCCCCGTCTTGCAGGTGTACCTATCTCGCGGCTACCTCGATTCCTTCTCACTCATAGCTGACACTGCCTATGTATCCGCCTCCCTCGACTGCATCTCAATGCTTCCTGTCCTTTCGTTCACTTTCCCCCCCTCCCCTTCCACCTCCCAGGTCTACCTATCCCGCGGATACCTCGACTCCTTCTCACTCATTGCCGACACTGCCTATGTCTCGGTCTCGGCCTCCCTCGGCCTCATCTCAGTGCTCCCTGTCCTTTCATTCCCTCCCCTCCCTTCCGCTCCCTCTCCCAGGTATACCTGTCGCGTGGCTACCTCGACTCCTTTTCGCTCATCGCCGACACTGCCTACGTCTCGGCCTCCCTCGGCCGCATCACACGTGCGCTCTTCGAGATCGCTCTAAAACGAGGATGGTGCTCCCTTGCGGCCTCCCTGCTGGAGATGGCCAAGGCAGTGGATCAGCGCATCTGGCCTCACCAGCACCCCTTGAGGCAGTTCGAATCTGTGATTTCACAAGAGGTGGGTAATTCAGTCAGCCCCTTTTGGTCCACTATATGGTGCTCCCTGGCGGATCTCCGATTCAAGACAGAAAGAACAAAACCCTGGATTGATTGAGCCTCTGGGGGTCTCCCTGCTGGAGATGGCCAAGGCAGTGGATCAGCGCATCTGGCCTCACCAGCACCCCTTGAGGCAGTTTGAGTCCGTGATTTCACAGGAGGTAGGTAATTCAGCCCCTTTTGGTCCACTTAGGTGGTGCTCCCTGGCGGCCTCCCTGCTGGAGATGGCCAAGGCGGTGGATCAGCGCATCTGGCCGCACCAGCATCCTCTAAGGCAGTTTGAGTTCGTGATTTCACAGGAGGTAATCACTTCCTCTCTCGCAGAAACAAAGACAAAAGCCTGGCGGCCTCACTGCCGGAGATGGCCAAGCCACGCATCAGCACATCTGTCTGCATCAGCACATCTGTCTGCATCAGCACATCTGTCTGCATCAGCACATCTGTCTGCATCAGCACATCTGTCTCCATCAGCACATCTGTCTGCATCAGCATCCTGTCAGGCAGTTTGAATCTGTATTCTCTCAAGAGGTTGGTCTTTTGAGGCGCCTCAAAGGGATCTGTGCCCTGCCCACCCCTCCGCCTCAAGAGGCACAGGAAGGTAAGAGGTAATCCACCTCTCTTTGGTGAAGTGGATGGTTGCCTCCTTGCTGGATATGACGTTGCCCATGCGCTCTCCCCGACATGCATGGATGGCTTATAGTATCCATCCATGCATGTGCTCTCTCTCTTTCTCTTGCTGTTCTCTCGCTCTTTGCCTTTTCTCGTTGTGTGTGCATGCACCAAGTGTTGTTCAAGCTGGGGGATCGAGTGGGCTGGATCTCGTCCGGCTGCGTGGCATGCTTGGCTAAGAACGCCTCAAATCTATGCCTATGCCTGTGCTGCCTTTTGCCTGTGCTGCGTTTTGCCTGTGCTGCGTTTTGCCTGTGCTGCGTTTTGCCTGTGCTGCCTTTTGCCTGTGCTGCGTTTTGCCTGTGCTGCCTTTTGCCTGTGCTGCGTTTTGCCTGTGCTGCCTTTTGCCTGTGCTGCGTTTTGCCTGTGCTGCCTTTTGCCTGTGCTGCGTTTTGCCTGTGCTGCGTTTTGCCTGTGCTGCGTTTTGCCTGTGCTGCGTTTTGCCTGTGCTGCGTTTTGCCTGTGCTGCGTTTTGCCTGTGCTGCGTTTTGCCTGTGCTGCGTTTTGCCTGTGCTGCGTTTTGCCTGTGCTGCGTTTTGCCTGTGCTGCGTTTTGCCTGTGCTGCGTTTTGCCTGTGCTGCGTTTTGCCTGTGCTGCGTTTTGCCTGTGCTGCGTTTTGCCTGTGCTGCGTTTTGCCTGTGCTGCGTTTTGCCTGTGCTGCGTTTTGCCTGTGCTGCGTTTTGCCTGTGCTGCGTTTTGCCTGTGCTGCGTTTTGCCTGTGCTGCGTTTTGCCTGTGCTGCGTTTTGCCTGTGCTGCGTTTTGCCTGTGCTGCGTTTTGCCTGTGCTGCGTTTTGCCTGTGCTGCGTTTTGCCTGTGCTGCGTTTTGCCTGTGCTGCGTTTTGCCTGTGCTGCGTTTTGCCTGTGCTGCGTTTTGCCTGTGCTGCGTTTTGCCTGTGCTGCGTTTTGCCTGTGCTGCGTTTTGCCTGTGCTGCGTTTTGCCTGTGCTGCGTTTTGCCTGTGCTGCGTTTTGCCTGTGCTGCGTTTTGCCTGTGCTGCGTTTTGCCTGTGCTGCGTTTTGCCTGTGCTGCGTTTTGCCTGTGCTGCGTTTTGCCTGTGCTGCGTTTTGCCTGTGCTGCGTTTTGCCTGTGCTGCGTTTTGCCTGTGCTGCGTTTTGCCTGTGCTGCGTTTTGCCTGTGCTGCGTTTTGCCTGTGCTGCGTTTTGCCTGTGCTGCGTTTTGCCTGTGCTGCGTTTTGCCTGTGCTGCGTTTTGCCTGTGCTGCGTTTTGCCTGTGCTGCGTTTTGCCTGTGCTGCGTTTTGCCTGTGCTGCGTTTTGCCTGTGCTGCGTTTTGCCTGTGCTGCGTTTTGCCTGTGCTGCGTTTTGCCTGTGCTGCGTTTTGCCTGTGCTGCGTTTTGCCTGTGCTGCGTTTTGCCTGTGAGCCCCTTCCTCTGCACCAGGTACTGTTCAAGCTGGAGGACCGGGGGCTGGATCTGGATCGCCTGTGTGACATGGACGACAATGAGATTGCTGCCATCATCCGCTCGCCCTATGCTGCCAAGGTGAGCTGGCCTATGATGCCAAGGTGGGTTGGCCTGCTGGGCTGGCCTGATGGGCGGTGCTGCTGCTGCCAAGGTAGGAATTATAGGTACTGGTCAAGCCAGAAGAGTGAGGCCTAGATTGGATCTGGATCGCCTGTGTGACATGGACGACAGTGACATTGCTGCCATCATCCGCTCGCCCTATGCTGCCAAGGTGAGCTGGCCTATGCTGCCAAGGTGGGTTGGCCTGCTGGGCTGGCCTGATGGGCGGTGCTGCTGCTGCCAAGGTAGGAATTATAGGTACTGGTCAAGCCAGAAGAGTGAGGCCTAGATTGGATCTGGATCGCCTGTGTGACATGGACGACAGTGACATTGCTGCCATCATCCGCTCGCCCCACGCTGCTAAGGTGGGCTGGCCTGCTGGGCTGTGGTGGTGCTGCTGCCAAGGTAGGACTTTCAGGTACTGTTCAAGCTAGAGGACCGAGGGCTGCATCTAGATCGGCTGTGTGACATCGACAGTGAGATTGCTGCCATCATCCGCTCGCCCCACGCTGCTAAGGTGGGCTGGCCTGTTGCAGTTCATTAAGCGACACCGTCTCTGTTCTGATTCTTCTCCAATTCGAGTCTTTCTGTTAGCCCGTATGATGTATCCATGTCTTGTATTCTTGCTGCAGCAGTCATTGTATCCTGGGTTTCGGGTTTAGCTGGAGTATTGTATCCTCTTCCCTTTCCTGTTTGCAAGCCTCAGCTTGTGCTTTCATTACCACTATTGTGGGATGACCCTCTTACTCACTGACCCTCGGCTTTAATTTCTTCCCCCCTCTCTTCTCTCCTCTTCCTCTCTCCTGTCCTCCCCTTTCCCCTCTCATCCCTCAGTTGGTGTCACAGTGTGTCTCCCAGTTCCCCTATCTGGAGCTCGACGCGCACATCAGCCCCATCACCCGCACTGTGTTACAGGTCCGACTTTTCTTTCTCAATGCTTGTGTTCTCTCAGGATACTTTGTTCGCCCCTCCACACCACATCCATCCGCCACCACCTCCCTTTGTTCAAGCGTGACCACTGCACACTTACACACCTGCGGCACCGTGCTTTGTCTGTCCCTCTTTTCCGAATGCTCTCGTTCCTCTATGTGACCCTCTATGTCTAGAGGCTCACCTGACAGGCAGCTGGCACTCTGTGTGACGCAACGCCCACCTTTCAGTGGAAAGATGCTTGTAAGAGATTTCTCAAAAGCACTCTCCACCCACCCTCTTCCCCTTCAACCCTGGCAGGTGACTCTTTATGTGACGCCCACCTTCCAGTGGAAAGAACGATTCCACGGCAATGCCCAGCGCTGGTGGATATGGGTGGAGGTGAGCGGTGGATATATGGGTAGAGAGTGGTGAGTATGGGTGGAATGGAGGTCAGCGGGTGGTCGGGATGGAATGGCAACTTGGCAAGGGGTTGTATGTGTGCTGATGGGATCGTGGAGGTGTGTTGTTGGATATGTGCTCTGCAGGTATCTGGGATGGTCGTTGAGTTGGTTGATTTTCACCCCTCTCCACTCCACCCCTCTCTATCCCCTTCTACCTCTCTGCACCTCGCTCCACCCCTCTCCACCGCTCTCTACCTGGCAGGGCAGCGAGATCGAGCACATCTACCACACGGAGTACTTCATTCTGTCCAAGAGGATGATGGCGCAGGGCACACACACGCTCACCTTCACCATCCCGTTCTCCACTCTCTAAGCCCCTCTCCACCCCTCTCCACCCCTCCCTACCCCACTCCACTCCTCTCCACCCCTTTCCACCGCGCTTGACCTTGGCAGGATAGTGAGAACGAGCACATCTACCACACGGAGTACTTCATTCTGTCCAAGAAGATGATGGCACAGGGCACTCACACGCTCACCTTCACCATCCCCATCTTTGAGCCGCTACCCCCTCAGTACTACGTGAAGGCCATCTCAGACAACTGGCTCTCCTCCTCCTCCACCCACACCATCTCCTTCCGCCACCTCATCCTGCCCGAGGTAACTTTCATCCTGCCCTGGGTTAATTTCCCCGAATAACTCTCATCCTGCCCCGGGGTAACTGCCCCTAATAACTCTCTTCCTGCCCTGGGGTGAATCTCATGCTGCCCAGCGCAACCCTCATCCTGTCTGGAATGCAGCCTTTCAACTCTGCTACTTCTGCATTGATCTATTCATTCGCAACCCCCTGTTCCTCTTGCTGCTTTCCCCCTTCTGCCTTCCCCTTCCCCAGCGCCACCCGGCCCACACAGAACTCCTGAAATTAAGCCTGCTTCCAATCACAGCCTTCGGGAACCCCCAGGCCATCGGGCTGTACGGCTTTTCGCAATTCAACCCCATTTGGACTCGGGCCTTCCACACGCTGTACCACTCCGATCACAGCGTGCTGCTCGGTGCTCCCACTGCCTACCACTGCCTTTGCTGCTTCAATCTTCTCATCTCCTTCCCTCCCCTTTGTTTCTCTCGCTTTTCCCCCTTCCGCCGTCCCCACTCCCAGCGCCACCCGCCCCACACAGAGCTCCTGAATCTGCGCCCGCTCCCAGTGACAGCCCTCGGGGATCCCCAGGCCATCGGGTTGTACGGCTTTTCACACTTCAACCCCATTCAGACTCAGGCCTTCCACACGCTGTACCACTCCGACCACAGCGTGCTGCTCGGTGCCCCCACCGGCAGTGGCAAGACCATCTCGGCTGAGCTTGCCATGCTCAGGCTTTTCCGCACGCAGCCAGGCATGAAGGTAGGAGAGGGAAGGGTACATTGAGATACAGGTGAATGTGCTGCATCTCTCACCGGCAGAGAGATACAGGTGAATGTGCATGTGCTACATCTCTCACCGGCAGAGAGATACAGGTGAATGTGCTGCATCTCTCACCGGCAGAGAGATACAGGTGAATGTGCTGCATCTCTCACCGGCAGAGAGATACAGGTGAATGTGCTGCATCTCTCACCGGCAGAGAGATACAGGTGAATGTGCTGCATCTCTCACCGGCAGAGAGATACAGGTGAATGTGAATGTGCTGCTGGGTGCGAGCTCCCACCGGCACTGGCAAGGCCATTTTGGCCGAGCTTGCGGTGCTCAGGCTGTTCTGCACACAGGCAGGCATGACGGTAGGGGAACTAGGGATTTTAGAGAGATAGGTATGCATGGGTGAGTGAGCTGTTGGGTACACTCACCAGCAGTAGCACGACTATCTCATCTCGGCCGAAATTGCCATGCTCAGGATGTTCCTCACACAGCCCGGCATGAAGGTGAGGGACTAGGGGTAAGAGGCAAAGACAATACAGTCTCGGCTAAGCTTGCAGTGCTAGTCAGATTGCGAACCTTATAGAAAAAGGGGATTAAACCCTAAACCCTTAACCCTGACCCTGGACCGTTGACCTTCTGGCCCGTCTTTTGCCCACCCTTTCTGCACGTGCTGGCAGGTGATTTACATAGCGCCACTTAAAGCCCTGGTGCGAGAGAGGATGGAGGACTGGGGCAAGAACTTCATGCCAAAGCTCGGCAAGTGCATGGTGAGTAGGAAAGCCCAAGCCGTAACTGGTTTTTTTAAAGGTTATGTCGTATTTGCTTGTCCACTCTAAATCTTAACGCACCACTTCCTTAGCCTCCTTTGAGTAGTTGGATGGAATGGAAACGGCAGATGTTGCGGCGATGCAAGGTCAACATGAAGCTGTTGCTGTTGACCTTCATTGATTGAACCATTGCCCTCTCGATACCCCCTGTGTTCCTCGCCCTATTCCGACCACATTGCACTGCAGGTGGAGCTGACTGGAGATCTTACTCCGGGTATGAGGCTGCTGGTGGCGGCTGATGTGATCGCCTCACCCACTCAGATAACAAGTGTCATTCCCTCTTCCTGTCTTCCCTTCCTCTCCAGGTGGGGCTAAACACGCGATCTCACTCCGGACATGAAGCTGCTGATGGCGGCTGGCAGAATTACCTCACCCACCCACCACCCACTCCATTGCATTCCTCTCTTATCTTTTCTCTTCATCCTCTCCTTCTCCCTGTCTTCCCTTTATCTTCAGGTGGAGCTGACTGGCGATCTCACGCCAGACATGAAGCTGCTGGTGGCGGCCGACATCAATGCCACACCCTCTGTGTGCTCCTCTCTTCCGTGTACTCCCCTCTTTCCTTCATCTCCAGGTGGAACTAACAGGGGATCTCACACCAGACATGAAGCTGCTGGTGGCGGCTGATGTGATCGTGGCAACTCCAGAGAAGTGGGACGGCATCACTCGCAGCTGGCACAACCGATCATATGCGCAGACGGTGAGAGAAACTGGGGCGTAAGGGGGGGTTGGGTTAGGGGAATTGGGTGTGGTGCGCACGTGTCGTATGTGCATGTATGTGCTGTGCATGTGTGTGCATGTATGTGCATGTATGTGCATGTATGTGCATGTGTGTGCATGTATGTGCATGTATGTGCTGTGCATGTGTGTGCATGTATGTGCTGTGCATGTGTGTGCATGTGTGTGCATGTATGTGCATGTATGTGCTGTGCATGTGTGTGCATGTATGTGCATGTATGTGCATGTATGTGCTGTGCATGTGTGTGCATGTATGTGCATGTATGTGCATGTATGTGCTGTGCATGTGTGTGCATGTATGTGCATGTATGTGCATGTATGTGCATGTATGTGCATGTATGTGCATGTATGTGATGTGCATGTGTGTGCATGTGTGTGCATGTATGTGCATGTATGTGCTGTGCATGTATGTGCATGTATGTGCATGTATGTGCTGTGCATGTGTGTGCATGTGTGTGCATGTATGTTCATGTATATGCTGTGCATGTATGTGCATGTATGTGCATGTATGTGCTGTGCATGTGTGTGCATGTATGTGCATGTATGTGCTGTGCATGTGTGTGCATGTATGTGCATGTATGTGCTGTGCATTTGTGTGCATGTATGTGCATGTATGTGCTGTGCATGTGTGTGCATCTATGTGCATGTATGTGCATGTATGTGATGTGCATGTGTGTGCATGTGTGTGCATGTATGTGCATGTATGTGCTGTGCATGTATGTGCATGTATGTGCATGTATGTGATGTGCATGTGTGTGCATGTGTGTGCATGTATGTGCATGTATGTGCTGTGCATGTATGTGCATGTATGTGCATGTATGTGCTGTGCATGTGTGTGCATGTGTGTGCATGTATGTGCATGTATGTGCATGTATGTGCTGTGCATGTGTGTGCATGTATGTGCATGTATGTGCATGTATGTGCATGTATGTGCATGTATGTGCATGTATGTGATGTGCATGTGTGTGCATGTGTGTGCATGTATGTGCATGTATATGCTGTGCATGTATGTGCATGTATGTGCATGTATGTGCTGTGCATGTGTGTGCATGTATGTGCATGTATGTGCTGTGCATGTGTGTGCATGTATGTGCATGTATGTGCTGTGCATGTGTGTGCATGTATGTGCATGTATGTGCTGTGCATGTGTGTGCATGTATGTGCATGTATGTGCTGTGCATGTATGTGCATGTATGTGCATGTATGTGCATGTATGTGCTGTGCATGTGTGTGCATGTATGTGCATGTATGTGCATGTGTGTGCATGTATGTGCATGTATGTGCATGTATGTGCATGTATGTGCATGTATGTGCATGTATGTGATGTGCATGTGTGTGCATGTGTGTGCATGTATGTGCATGTATGTGCTGTGCATGTGTGTGCATGTGTGTGCATGTATGTGCATGTATATGCTGTGCATGTATGTGCATGTATGTGCTTTGCATGTGTGTGCATGTATGTGCATGTATGTGCTGTGCATGTGTGTGCATGTATGTGCATGTATGTGCATGTATGTGCTGTGCATGTGTATGCATGTATGTGCATGTATGTGCATGTATGTGCATGTATGTGCTGTGCATGTGTGTGCATGTATGTGCATGTATGTGCATGTATGTGCTGTGCATGTATGTGCATGTATGTGCATGTATGTGCTGTGCATGTATGTGCTGTGCATGTGTGTGCATGTATGTGCATGTATGTGCATGTATGTGCATGTATGTGCATGTATGTGCATGTGTGTGCATGTATGTGCATGTATGTGCATGTATGTGCATGTGTGTGCATGTATGTGCATGTATGTGCATGTATGTGCTGTGCATGTATGTGCATGTATGTGCTGTGCATGTGTGTGCATGTGTGTGCATGTATGTGCATGTATGTGCTGTGCATGTGTGTGCATGTATGTGCATGTATGCGCATGTATGTGCTGTGCATGTGTGTGCATGTATGTGCATGTATGTGCATGTATGTGCTGTGCATGTGTGTGCATGTATGTGCATGTATGTGCATGTATGTGCATGTATGTGCATGTATGTGCATGTATGTGCTGTGCATGTGTGTGCATGTGTGTGCATGTATGTGCATGTATGTGCTGTGCATGTATGTGCATGTATGTGCATGTATGTGCTGTGCATGTATGTGCTGTGCATGTGTGTGCATGTATGTGCATGTACGTGCATGTATGTGCATGTATGTGCATGTATGTGCATGTATGTGCATGTGTGTGCATGTGTGTGCATGTATGTGCATGTATGTGCTGTGCATGTGTGTGCATGTATGTGCATGTATGTGCATGTGTGTGCTGTGCATGTATGTGCTGTGCATGTATGTGCATGTATGTGCTGTGCATGTGTGGTGAGTTAAACCCACCCCTGATTGCTTCTGAAATGCAATCTCTTGCCAGTGGGGCTGATGGCGATAGGACGAGATTCGCCTACAGAGTCAGTGGCTGGAATGCTAGTATCGCCTCGATCGAGGATGTAGCATGTCAGTGTCAGACTGTTCAGTGGGGCGTTTTTTTAGGCACCTCAAAAATCGCCTCACTACACACGGATGTAGCATGTCAGTGTCCAATCCAACTGTTCAACCGTACACCCTTCTTACACCTCTTCCCCTTACTTAATGCAACGCCCTCTGCCTTCCATGGAATGCAGGTGGGGTTGATGGTGATGGATGAGATTCACCTGCTGGGGCAGGACAGAGGGCCAGTACTGGAGGTGATTGTATCGAGGATGAGATACATCTCGGCCCGCACCGCCCGCCCCATCCGCTTCCTCGGCCTCTCCACCGCGCTCGCCAATGCCAGGTGAGGTGCCTACCTGTCTCGCCTGCTAGGGGCAGGTGAGTGAGGTGCATGGTACTGCTTGTCATTCTGCTAAGGGCAGCTAAGATGCCTCTTCACCGCCCGCCCCATCCGCTTCCTCGGCCTCTCCACTGCGCTCGCCAACGCCAGGTGAGGTGCCTCCCTGCCTGTTAGGGTCAGGTGAGGTGCCTGCCTTGCCTGTTAGGAGCAGGTGAGTGAGGTGCATGATACATGCCTGTCATTCTGTCGGAGGCAGAACGATGCCTCTCCGCCTCCCGCCCAATCCGGTTCCTCCGCCTCTCCACCCCCCTCGCCAACGCCAGGTGCATGATACATGCTTGTCATTCGAGGCACCAATCTATCTCCATATGCTTTGTGACACTACCCCCTCTACACGTGGATACGTTCTACTGTCCTCTTGAACCTCATTCTCGCTTCTCCTCTCTTTCCCATTTTCTCTCCCCCCTTCTTCATTCGCTCTCCTCCCTCCCTTCGCCTCTCTTCTCCGGCCCAGGGATCTAGCTGACTGGCTGGGCATAGAGCGGGTGGGACTGTTCAACTTCAAGCCCAGCGTGCGCCCCGTGCCGCTGGACGTGCACATCCAGGGCTACCCGGGCAAGTTCTACTGCCCGCGCATGAACGCCATGAACAAGCCGCTCTACGCCGCCATTCTCACCCACTCGCCCGTCAAGCCCGTGCTCGTTTTCGTCTCGTCCCGGCGCCAGACCCGGCTGACAGCGCTCGATCTCATTCAAGTGAGTGATTCTTCAAGATTGCTTCGGGGGCTACCTGGGCAAGCTCTAGTAAAGCTGCTCTACTGCCCGCTCATGAACGCCATGAACAAGCCGCTCTCTGCCGCCATCCTCACCCACTCGCCTGTGAAGCCCGTGCTCGTGTTCGTCTCCTCAAGGCGGCAGACCCGCCTCACTGCGCTTGATCTCATTCAGGTGAGGAATGATTCGACATTGTAAGAAAGGCTACACAGGTCACGTGTGGTCTGGTTTCAAATGAGCACATGAACGCCATGAACAAGCCGCTCTACGCCGCCATCCTCACCCACTCGCCTGTGAAGCCCGTGCTCGTTTTCGTGTCGTCGCGACGGCAGACCCGGCTCACAGCGCTCGATCTCATCAAGTGAGAATCAAACTTCATAGTTTGGTCAGAGATAACTCGGAATTGGGCTTGAGATGGCACCAAGAGAGGGGCTACTGCACGGGGCATGAACTGGGATTCAGGGCTACCCGGGCAAGTTCTACTGCCCGCGCATGAACTCCATGAACAAGCCACTCTACGCCTCCATTCTCACCCCCTCGCCCGTCAAGCCCATGCTCGTGCACGCTCATCAACCGTTCCTGTTCGTTCGTGTCATTGCGAAGGCAGACTCGTTTGAAAACGGTTGATCTCATTCGGTTTCTCATTTGGTCTTTCTTCATGTGTCCCTTTTCCCCGCCGATCAGTACGCAGCAGCGGACGAGCGGCCGCGGCAGTTTGTGCACGCGAGTGAGGAGGAGATGGAGGCGCATGTAGCCATGGCATCATCAGCAGAGCTGAAGCACACGCTGCAGTTTGGCATCGGGCTGCACCACGCTGGGCTCACCCAGGGGGACCGGTCGCTGGTGGAGACCCTCTTTGCTGAGAGGAAGATCCAGGTAAAGTGTGTGGTAACCATGTGGTACCCATGTGTGTTTCACTGGCATTAGAATGAGGTGGGGCTCTGAAGCACACGCTACAGTTTGGCGTCGGGCTGCACCACGCTGGGCTTACTCAGGGGGACCGGTCGCTCGTGGAGACACTCTTTGCTGAGAGGAAGATTCAGGTGATTGCGTGATCATTGCATCGTAGTTGTATGGTAACCGCATGGTAACCATGTGGCAGTGGCATGAGAGTGAGGTGGGGCTGAAGCACACGCTGCAGTTTGGCATAGGGCTGCACCACGCTGGGCTCACTCAGGAGGACCGATCGCTGGTGGAGACGCTCTTTGCTGAGAGGAAGATTCAAGTAAGCCCTATGTGACTGTCTCCTGTCTCCTATATGACTGCATGGTAACCCCCAATCCCTCACCTCTCCTGCCCTCCGCTGCCCATCTGCATTCCCCTCCCTCTTGCATCCGCTACTGCTTTTCTTCCCATTCTTCTTTTTCAATCGTTCTCCTCCAGGTGCTCGTGTGCACATCCACACTAGCTTGGGGTGTGAATTTACCAGCCCATCTAGTGGTGGTGAAGGGAACGGAGTATTTCGATGGGAAGCAGAAGCGGTATGTGGAGATGCCAATCACAGACGTGCTGCAGATGATGGGGCGCGCGGGGCGGCCGCAATTCGACAATGAGGCCAAGGCGGTGATTCTCGTGCACGAGCCCAAGAAGAGCTTCTATAAGAAGGTGCGACATAATGGGAAGAAGGAGGGTTGCGAGAGGAAGTAGGAGAGAAATAGTACGATCATACGAGAGCAGGTAGCCGTTTGATAACAAAGCCAAGGCGGTGATCCTGGTGCACGAGCCCAAGAAGAGCTTCTACAAGTAGGCGAGAGAGAAGAGGGGGGAGAGGAGAGATGCGAGGGGAAGTAGGAAAGGAGGGGAACATGATGGCAGTTTGACAACGAAGCCAAGGCGGTGATCCTGGTGCACGAGCCCAAGAAGAGCTTCTACAAGTAGGCGAGAGAGAAGAGGGGGGAGAGGAGAGATGCGAGGGGAAGTAGGAAAGGAGGGGAACATGATGGCAGTTTGACAACGAAGCCAAGGCGGTGATCCTGGTGCACGAGCCCAAGAAGAGCTTTTATACGTAGGTGAGAGAGAAGAGGGGGGAGAGGAGCGGAGTGGTGTCTTTTTGCACCTCGTGCTGCATGACGTTCTTCATAGGCCGCTCGTGCCCTTCCAAGTTCAAACTCTTCCCCACATCTCCCCTCCACTGCAGTTTCTATATGAGCCGTTCCCAGTGGAATCCTCACTCCACCTCGTGCTGCATGCTTCATGAAGCCGCCCATGCCCCTCATTCTGGTTTTCTCCTCCCCACATCTCCCCTCCACCGCAGTTCCTGTACGAGCCATTCCCAGTGGAGTCATCGCTGCACCTGGTGCTGCACGACCATCTCAACGCGGAGGTGGCGGGGGGCAGCATAGCCAGCGTGCAGGACGCAATAGACTACCTCACCTGGACCTTCTTCCTCTCTTGCTCGCTCTTCAACCCCTCAAATTACTCTTCCTCAACTCCCTTCCTCCGTCCCTCTGTCCCTCCGTCCCCCCTCCTCCCCTCTCCTCTCTACCCCCCCACAACCCCCCCAACACCGCAGTTTCTGTACGAGCCGTTCCCAGTGGAGTCCTCGCTGCACCTGGTGCTGCACGACCATCTGAACGCGGAGGTGGCGGGGGGCAGCATAGCCAGCGTGCAGGACGCCATGGACTACCTCACCTGGACCTTCTTCTTCCGCCGCCTCCTCTGCAACCCCTCCTTCTACGGTCTTTCCGACACCAGCGCTGAGCCTGTCAACGTTTTCCTCTCAGAGTAAGCTTCTCCTGTGTTGTACTTTTGGGTTTAGTGAAAGCCTGGACCTTCTTCTCCTTCTATGGCCTTTCCGACACTAGCGCTGAGCCTGTCAACGTTTTCCTCTCAGAGTAAGCTTCTCCTGTGTTGTACTTTTGGGTTTAGTGAAAGCCTGGACCTTCTTCTCCTTCTATGGCCTTTCCGACACTAGCGCTGAGCCTGTCAACGTTTTCCTCTCAGAGTAAGCTTCTCCTGTGTTTTTGTTTTGGTTGACCATCTCACCCAGACCTGCTATTTCGCCACCTCCTCTGCAACCTACCTATCCTACTATGGCCTTTCTGACAACAGTGCAGGATCGGTCAATGTACTCCTTTCAGAGTAAGCTTCTGGCTTCGAGGCAACGCCTTGCTTCTCCAAGTGTTTTTGAGAATTCTCAAAAACACCCTGCGACACCAGTGCAGGATTGGTCAATGTACTCCTTTTGAGACGTCTCAAAAGTCAATGTACTCCTTTCAGAGTAGGCTTCTGGGGTTGAGAGGCAACGCCTTGCTTCGCCAAGTCACTCCTCTGCATCGCCAGCCAGCGTGCAGCACGCGTGGACTATCTCACCTTAACCTTCTTCCGCGGCCTCCTCTGCAACCCCTCCCCTCCTTCTACTGCCTCTCTGACATCATTGCAGAGTCTGTCAACGACTTTTGAGGCGCCTCAAAATTCGTCTAAGTTCACGCGGTTTTTGAGGCGCCTCAAAACTCGTCTAAGTTCACGCAGTTTTTGAGGCGCTTCAAAACTCGTCTAAGTTCACGCGGTTTTTGAGGCGCCTCAAAACTCGTCTAAGTTCACGCGGTTTTTGAGGCGCCTCAAAACTCGTCTAAGTTCACGCGGTTTTTGAGGCGCCTCAAAACTCGTCTAAGTTCACGCGGTTTTTGAGGCGCCTCAAAACTCGTCTAAGTTCACGCGGTTTTTGAGGCGCCTCAAAACTCGTCTAAGTTCACGCGGTTTTTGAGGCGCCTCAAAACTCGTCTAAGTTCACGCGGTTTTTGAGGCGCCTCAAAACTCGTCTAAGTTCACGCGGTTTTTGAGGCGCCTCAAAACTCGTCTAAGTTCACGCGGTTTTTGAGGCGCCTCAAAACTCGTCTAAGTTCACGCGGTTTTTGAGGCGCCTCAAAACTCGTCTAAGTTCACGCGGTTTTTGAGGCGCCTCAAAACTCGTCTAAGTTCACGCGGTTTTTGAGGCGCCTCAAAACTCATCTAAGTTCACGCGGTTTTTGAGGCGCCTCAAAACTCATCTAAGTTCACGCGGTTTTTGAGGCGCCTCAGAACTCTGCAGCCCCTCCCCTCCTACTGCCTCTCTGACACCAGTGCAGAGTCTGTCAACGTTTTTCTTTCAGAGTAGGAAACTGGACCTTCTACGCGCAACGTGCCTCTCCCATTGGTTTGCCTTCTCCCTGCCTGCAGTCTCGTCAGCCGCACTCTCTCCGACCTGGATGCAGCAGGCTGATTTGCCCTGCATGAGGACAGCAGCAGTGTGGATCCGCTGCTGCTTCATGAGAGGATTCACCGCGTGTATCGTATGAAGAAGTGTTTTGAGACGTCTCAAAACACTTGTTCATACACGTGGCGATTCGCCCTGCATGAGGACAGCAGTGTGGATCCGCTGCTGCTTCATGAGAGGATTCACCGCCACACCCTTACCTTGCTTGTCCACTCCCCACGTATCCTCCACTTTTTCCCTACTCATCTCCCACTCGTCCATGCCCCTCCAGTCTCGTCAGCCGCACTCTCTCTGACCTGAATGCAGCCGGCTGCATCGCCCTGCATGAGTACGGCAGTGTGGATCCTCCTCCCTTATTCATTCCCCACTCGCTCTTTACGCTCTCATCCCACCTTCCCTACTGGCAGTCTCGTCAGCCGCACTCTCTCTGACCTGGATGCAGCCGGCTGCATCGCCCTCCACGAGGACGGCAGTGTGGATCCTCTGCCGCTCCTCACCAAAGTCACACTCTTGCGTCTAAAATCTCACATCATTTCTTCCCTTCTGAAAACCCACTCGCCCCTCTCCAGTCTCGTCAGCCGCACTCTCTCTGACCTGGATGCTGCTGGCTGCATCGCGCTGCATGAGGACGGCAGTGTGGATCCGCTGCCGCCCGGCCTGATTGCCTCGCAGTACTACCTGCACTTCACCACCGCCGCACTGTTCACCGCCAATCTCACTTCGCCGACCGCTGCGGCGGCAGTGACACTAGAGACGGTGCTGCATGTGCTGTGTGGGGCGGCAGAGTTTGACGAGCTGCCAGTCAGGCACAATGAGGTGAGTACGGCATGATAAGGGTGCAGTGCGGTGCGGTGCGGTTCAGTGCGGTTCTGGAGGTTCCTTGTTCATAGTCATGGTGCCACGGCGGTGACTCTAGAGACGGTGCTGCACGTGCTGTGTGGGGCGGCAGAGTTTGACGAGCTGCCAGTCAGGCATAACGAGGTGAGTAAGGGATGAGGAGGGTTGTGCAGTGCGGTCCAGTGCGGTTTTTGAGGTGCCAAGAAGATTGTAACGGTCTGCACGTGCTGTGTGGGGCGGCAGAGTTCGACGAGCTGCCAGTCAGGCACAATGAGGTGAGTAAAGCTTCATGATTTGAGAGGGGTGATGTGCGGTTCAGTGCAGTGACGTGCAACCAGGCGTGGTGCCCGTGGGGACTTGCTGTGTGGACAACACACGACTCTTTTTTTCCTTGTTTCACTTCCCATTTCTCTAACCATTTCTCTGCTCCTTGCTCTGCCCATTTCTCTCTGCTCTTGGCTGATACAGGAGTTTGTGAACGCAGAGATGGCAAAGCATGTGCGGTGGAAGGTGGATCAACTATTTTTTTATTCGACTCAAAACCAGCGTGGAGACTTCTTTGCTTGCTCATTCATCTACTCGTTTCTCTGTTCTCACCCACTACAGGAGTTTGTGAACGCAGAGCTGGCAAAGCATGTGCGCTGGAAGGTGGACCATCGCACCTACGACGACCCGCACACCAAGACCAACTTGCTGCTCCAGGTGAATTTAGTTAGCCCTCAGGTGAGGTCGGCCCTCAGGTGAGATCAGCCCTCAGGTGAGGTCGGCCCTCTGGTGAGGTCAGCCCTCAGGTGAGGTCAGTCCTCAGGTGAATCTAGTTAGCCTGCGCAATGTATTCTCCAAAATTCTCAATGACCATCGCACCTACGACGACCCGCACACCAAGACCAACCTGTTGCTCCAGGTGAGATCAGCCTTCAGGTGAGATCAGCCTTCAGGTGAGATCAGCCTTCAGGTGAGATCAGCCTTCAGGTGAGATCAGCCTTCAGGTGAGATCAGCCTTCACGTGAGATCATCCTTCAGGTGAGATCAGCCTTCAGGTGAGATCAGCCTTCAGGTGAGATCAGCCTTCAGGTGAGATCAGCCTTCAGGTGAGATCAGCCTTCAGGTGAGATCAGCCTTCAGGTAATATCAGCCTTCAGGTGAGATCAGCCTTCAGGTGATATCAGCCGGCTGTCAATGCCAATGAGAGACTTCGAGACGGACCTTAGGAGTGTGCTGGATCAAACGATGCACGTGCCACAGGCCATGATCGACACGGCTGCTGCAGCCACCCGCTCGGCTACATCCTACGTTCCCCTCCCACCGTCTCTTGCTCCTCTCCCCTGCCATTTCCGTCCCCTTTCTCCATATTTTCTCCTCCCTCTGCTATCCACTCCTCCATCTCTCCTCCCCCCCCTTCTCAGGCGCACTTCTCCCGTCTGGCCATGCCAATGAGCGACTACGAGACGGATCTCAAGAGTGTGCTGGATCAGACCATGCGAGTGCTACAGGCCATGATTGACACCGCTGCTACAGCCGGCCAGCTACAGCCTGCTCTGCTCACCATGCGCCTCACACAGATGGTCATCCAGGTGGGTGAGATGCGGTGCAGGTGATTATGAATCAAACGATCATGCGAATGATGGTCCAGAGGTGGTTTCCGTGAAGCGCATTGATCATCCTGCTCTCTGTGCTTAGCTCACCATGCACCTCACCCAGATGGCCCACCCAAGCACCTCCTCTTACCTCCCCGTACTTCCCTTTCCTCCCTTCCACAGGCTGTCTGGTGCGACCTTGGCTCGCCCATAGCCATGCTGCCACATGTCACGCCCTCATTGGAGGACACGCTGTCAGCTGCCAGGCTGGCATCGCTATCCGCCCTGCTGTCAGCCTCGCCACATCACCTCCGCCAGCTCCTCTCCTCCCACCTCTCGCCTGCCGCTCGTGCCGACTTCCTTCAGGTGTGCTTGAATTTCATACGTAATTACACCAGACATTGAGTTCTTATATGATGGGAAACTAATTAACACCAGACATTGAGTTCTTATATGATAGGCAACACTTTAACACCAGACACTGAGTTCTTATATGATGGGAAACTAATTAACACCAGACATTGAGTTCTTATATGATAGGCAACACTTTAACACCAGACATTGAGTTCTTATATGATGGGAAACTAATTAACACCAGACATTGAGTTCTTATATGATAGGCAACACTTTAACACCAGACATTGAGTTCTTATATGATGGGAAACTAATTAACACCAGACATTGAGTTCTTATATGATAGGCAACACTTTAACACCAGACATTGAGTTCTTATATGATAGGCAACACTTTAACACCAGACATTGAGTTCTTATATGATGGGAAACTAATCAACACCAGAAATTGAGTTCTTATATGATAAGAAATGCATCAAACGGAGCTCTATCCTCTAGCTGCCCTCCATGCTCCTCTTGTCCCTTCTTCCCTGGTTGGTTACTGGTTGTACATGCTAACGATGGTTGGCTGGACCTTTAGCGGCACGTACATTAGCAAGCATCTCTCACTTACAACTTCTTGGGTCGACTCAAAAAGCATCTCTCACTTGCATCTGCTTTTCCATCTGCAGCTGCTAACTCAGAATGCTTCAAGTCATTGAATGCATTGTTTGTACTGACTTACTTGAAGTACTGTTTTCTCTCCCTCTAGCTTGTTCTCTGCATTTATTTCTTTTATGCCGTTGGTTTCTTGGTATTCGCATTGTCTTACACTTCAACAATTTCTCACTTCATTTGCTCTCCCCTCTTCTACTCCCCCTGCCCCTACCTTCCCTTCTTTTGTCTCTTCCTTCCCTCCCCAACCTGCACTCTTTCTCCTTCTCTCTCTTGTCCCCCCCTCTCCTCTCACCCCCTTGCCCTTGTATCTGCCAGGCTCTGGGGATGCTGCCTCGAGTGTCCATGTCAGTGCAAGTGCTCTCCACGGGCACAGCGGATGGGGAGAAGACACCTGCAAAGTCCGCAGCGGCAGGAACAGCAGCAGTGGTGGTGGAGGTATCGCTTCGCCGCGCGCGGCCGCACCAGCCACACTCTCTGCGTGCCTACACGCCCTTCTTCCCCAAGGTGTGTTCAAGCAGACATGATGCATATTCCTTGGATGCACGCTGGTCCTTCTTTCGCAATTTTTTTTTCAAAATGCCCAAAATAATAGCTCAAAATGTGCTACCATCACTTGCCTACTCACTCGCTTTCTCCACCATCACTTGCGCACCGACTCGCTCTCTCTACCGTCACGTGCTTACTCACTCACTCGCTCACGTGCCTACTCTACCATTCGTCGTGACGTATCTATCGGTTTACAGGTGAAGGAGGAGGGGTGGTGGGTGGTGGTAGCAGCAGCAGACTCCCCCACCCTGCTCGCTCTCAAACGTGTCTCCTTCACACACCGACTCACCACCCGCCTGCACGTGCCCGAGCTGCAATCGTCAGTGAAGCAGGTATGTGTGTGCGTCCTAGCCAGTTTCAGGTGTAATAAAGCTCCAAGCTCTGTTTCACACACCGACTCACCACTTGCCTGCACGTGCCCGAGCTGCAATCGTCAGTAAAGCAGGTACGGATGTCACAACCAGTTTCAGGTATACTCATTGCGTGTTTGAACTCGTAGTTGTTCTTCACGCACCAGCTCACAATCCGTGAAAATGAAAGAATGTACGAATTAGTGGCATCTTTGATATACATTACTGGTGATATAGGTGTCCCTTTGCAGTGCTACCACTGCATGGGCATGATCACGGTGCCTCTAACGCTCACATGTGTTTTATTCGATTATTATCATGTGTTGACTTGCTTATTTCAAAAAATCGTTCCGATTGTGATGAATGTCATGGAGCTGCTTTTCTTTTCTTTCACCTCTTTCCCTCGTCCACCCCCATCAGCTGGCGGTCCATCTCATCTCTGACTGCTATGTCGGCCTGGATCAACTCGTCACCCTGTCAACGAATGCTGCTGTACCTGCTCAAGGGACAATTGGGCACTATACCATTGAGAATGTCGGATTTACCATGGCTGCTTCAGCTGCTGCTGCTGCTGGGGAGAAGAAGGGGAATGTGCTGGGAGGAGGTGCGGTGAGTGAGGGGCATCAGGATGCGGTGAAGTTGCCAGGAGGAGGTGATGGAGGTGAGGGGAACAATGAGTGGGTTGTGGAGGATGAGGAGGAAGATGAGTTCTTTGAAGCAGAAGGGTAGCTTCACTGGCAAAGATGAGACTCTAGAAGTGAATCTATTATATGTAAAGTGACTTGACAGCAACTGGAGTGAATTTGTAAAGATGTACCATGTCTTTAGCCAACACTAATCAAAATAAAAGTTTTAGCGAAGGTATTACTAAAATCGCAGCGGGTCTCCTTGTATACCTGGCATATTTTCTGTGGCAAAGAGCCAACATTCATCCTGCTTGGGCAAAGCACCATATTGTTCGGTTATTCTGCATTTGAGTGGGGTTCAGTGTGGTACCACCTCGATGGGCTCGAATCGAAAGTAAGCATTCTGGGACGGTCGAGTCTTAGAGCTGACGTGTCACAATCCCCGCCATTTCTCACTCAGACATTGGCTCCAGTCGACGGAAAAGTACTGGTGTCGGTTTGTCGTGAACGCGCCTCGGTCAATCACCAAGGAACTATGTGCCCCCCTACCCTCCTCCCCTCGGCTTCAGAGCTTTACAACTCTTACCACCTGCCATTTTATTTTTGCTCCAGCTAAACTCGTTGCGGCTGTGAAGTAGCTGGTCTATTGTTGCGAAGTCCTTCGTCGCTCTGAGTCGGAAACCCGACGCAAGACAGTGTGTGGTCGTAATCGCAATGTCGACCTAGTTGCTAGCCACGAAAAAACTCATATCCCCGACCGTTTTCAACTTATCAATCTATTCAATGGCGCTTCGCAGCTGTAGAGAACGGATCCTTCAGTCACTTCAAGCAGGCTCTGTAGTGCGACGATTAACGAGCGTCAAACAAATCCACTCGTCCACGAGCAGTCAACGATGTGGCCTACCGTTGCCATCGCCACAATCAGGCTTACCTTCAAAAGACGGGAGTTCGTCATTCCTGAGCGGGTTTGTAAGACGGATCAACTCGAGTAGTAAATCCGCGTCGCAGCCGCAGATCGGCTTAGAGCAGATCGCGGAACGGATCAATGGATCGGAGAGTCACGCGCGGGTGAACGGGTTCGTGCAGTGGTACCTGAAATGCCTCGACTCCCGGCCCGTGATCACTAAGAGCATCACCGCAGCGATCATATTCGGCGCTGCTGACGTCACATCACAGGCACGTATGTCGGATTTTTCTTCGCTTCTCGCTTGCCCTACTTTTCTCCCCTTATCCCTCCCCCGTTCCTATGGATAAGGTTGGAGATCTTTCATATCTTCCTTGCTTCCAACTACCACCACTGGTGAGCCTAGCCTTACAATCAAATCGATTGCCAATTGGCGGATCGTAATATATCAAACGTAACCATGTTAATCAACCATCGCTGCTAACCCTCCCCTTGATTCTCATCATTTCTACACCCTTGGCCCCCTTTCTCCTTCTTTCTCCTCTCTTCTCCTTGATCATCCTGCTTCCTTCCTCCATTCTTCCTCCTTCCTTCTTCGGCTGCAGAAGCTCTCTCACTCCATTCTTGACCCACCCGCCACGTCACCACTCGACGACAACCCAGACCAACCGCCACGTCAGCAGATGCAGTGGGACGCGTTCCGTACAGCGCGCATGGCAGGAGCGGGTCTCTTACTATCCGGACCCACTCTTCACTTGTGGTTCACGCGCCTCGCCAAGTTCATCCCAGGGACAGACGTTCCTCGAGTGCTGCTCAAGATAGCCATGGGACAGCTGCTGTACAGCCCTGTTTTCAACTCCGTGTTCTTCTCCATCAACGCTGCTCTGCAAGGTGAGGATTTGAGGAACTGTGTCTGAATCGCGAGGGTCATCCCAGGCACGGACGTGCCTCGCGTGCTGCTCAAGATAGCCATGGGACAGCTGCTGTACAGCCCTATCTTCAACTCCGTGTTCTTCTCCATCAACGCTGCTCTGCAAGGTGAGGAATTGAGGAACTGTGTCTGAATTGCGAGGGTCATCCCAGGCACGGACGTGCCTCGCGTGCTGCTCAAGATAGCCATGGGACAGCTGCTGTACAGCCCTGTTTTCAACTCCGTGTTCTTCTCCATCAACGCTGCTCTGCAAGGTGAGGAATTGAGGAACTGTGTCTGAATTGCGAGGGTCATCCCAGGCACGGATGTGCCTCGCGTGCTGCTCATGATAGCCATGGAACAGCTGCTGTACAGCCCTATCTTCAACTCCGTGTTCTACTCCATCAACGCTGCTCTGCAAGGTGAGGAATTGAGGAACTGTGTCTGAATTGCGAGGGTCATCCCAGGCACGGACGTGCCTCGCGTGCTGCTCAAGATAGCCATGGGACAGCTGCTGTACAGCCCTGTTTTCAACTCCGTGTTCTTCTCCATCAACGCTGCTCTGCAAGGTGAGGAATTGAGGAACTGTGTCTGAATTGCGAGGGTCATCCCAGGCACGGATGTGCCTCGCGTGCTGCTCATGATAGCCATGGGACAGCTGCTGTACAGCCCTATCTTCAACTCCGTGTTCTTCTCCATCAACGCTGCTCTGCAAGGTGAGGAATTGAGGAACTGTGTCTGAATTGCGAGGGTCATCCCAGGCACGGACGTGCCTCGCGTGCTGCTCAAGATAGCCATGGGACAGCTGCTGTACAGCCCTGTTTTCAACTCCGTGTTCTTCTCCATCAACGCTGCTCTGCAAGGTGAGGAATTGAGGAACTGTGTCTGAATTGCGAGGGTCATCCCAGGCACGGATGTGCCTCGCGTGCTGCTCATGATAGCCATGGAACAGCTGCTGTACAGCCCTATCTTCAACTCCGTGTTCTTCTCAACTAATGCTAATCTTCTAGGTGAGGTGTGTTAAAATCGCGAGGGTCATCCCCAGGCACGGACGTGCCTCGCGTGCTGCTCAAGATAGCCATGGGACAGCTGCTGTACGGCTCTGTCTTCAAGTCCGTGTTCTTCTCAATCAACGCTGCTCTTCAAGGTAAGGTAACGAGCGGTTGTTTCTAAGGACGTCTTAAAAAATGGGGCAGCTGCTGTACGACCCTGTGTTTAACTCCGTGTTCTTCTCAGTCAACGCTGCCCTTCAAGGTGAGGGAACGAGCGGCTATGTGTAAGATCGTCTCAAAAATGGGACAGCTGTCAGTTGTATGGCCCTCACTTCAACTCCGTTTTCTCCTCCGTTAACGTTGCTCTGCAAGGTGAGAACATGAGGGACTATTTCTAGTATCTCACACACTGCACCTTTGCGGCAAGTCCTGCTACCAACGCTCATCAGCGGTGCCTGCTATTGGCCTATCTGTGACGTCCTCGTACGCCTGTTCATGTTTTTCCACTTTCTCCCATGCCCTGTTGTGCAGGCGAGAACAGGGATCAGATCATCGCTCGCTTGCGACGAGACCTGCTACGCGTGCTCATGTCTGTGACTTCATCATACATAATTAAAATGCTCTTCCACTTTCGTCCATGCCTTGTGTTACAGGGGAAAACAAGGAGCAAATCATTGCTCGCCTGAGACGAGACTTGATACCCACCCTCATCAGCGGCGCCTGCTACTGGCCTGTCTGTGACTTCATCACGTTCCGATACGTCCCCGTGAGACTGCAGGTGGGTGGAACTCATGTTAGACCTGAAACTGAAAGCTTGAATAGAAGGGGCAGATCATTGCTCGCTTGGAACAAGACCTCTACCCACCCGCATCAGCGGCGCCTGCTACTGGCCTGTCTGTGACTTCATCAAATCCGATACGCCCCCGTAAGACAGCAGGTGGGTAGTTGACTTCACTGGAGGAATACCGCTGATCAGAGCGCATATAGCTAGGCTTTGTGTCTCTCAGAGTCATCTGGACTAACCTTGTGAGGCACATGTGTGGTACTGGAGGAGAAGATTCTTAAACGCGTTTCATCTGGAATCAGCATTTAAGGTAAGGTGGATGCGTGTTCTTAACTAATATGGAGGCACCAACACCTGACGAGGCAGGGAACGCAAGTGCTGCCCTGGGCTGCAAAAAGGTGTCTGTTGACACGCTTTTGTGGTTCTGGCTGGACCATAACTCCCCAAGATTGTTGATTTCCACTGGTCTGAAGAGTCGAGCATAGATAGGAATACATAGTATCTCTAAAATTACACATTCCATGTCATGTCATGCCATGCCATGCCGTACCATGCCATTTTATCCCATCCCATGCCATATGCCTTTCTCCTTCCCCCCGTGTACACCCATACATCAATCCCCGTTCTTGGTGGTTTTCGCATGTGCAGGTACTAACGAGCAACACTGCTGCTTTCTTCTGGACCATCTATGTCACTTACAAAGCAAGTCTGGCGCCTGCTGCTGCTGCAACCGCTGATGCTGATGCTGGTGATAATGCGACTCAACCGAATGGCAGCAAGGAAGAGTAGGATGGTTCAGCCTCACAGTGCTGCCTGGGCTGCTACTGCTGCTTGGGCTGCTACTGCTGCCTGGGCTGCTACTGCTGCCACTACTCATAGTCGCTGTGAGCTTCCATAGCTTGATTTGAAGCCAACATGTAAATGGTTTCTCGATGTGCTGCGAGGAACCTATACAAGGCTGGGAAGGAGATTCTGGCAGCCGCAAGGAGCAGAAAGGGCTTGCTTGCGGTGCTGGCTGCTTCAACACTGTACAATGTACACTGTACCATTCATCACTGCATCGTGAAGCAAGTACTGTACTTCAATGTGGTGACGCACTGAAAAAGGCAGCCAGGAGAAAACGTAGTGAGTCTAAAAGCTTAAAAGGATTGTTGACACCCCGTGGGACATGCACTAAGAAATCGTATGAGGCTAAGAAATGTTATTTTCTATTTTTTGATATATCTGCAAGGGCTACAAATACAATATCTACTATACCATTTATCTACTTCATAACCAATTACGTAAATCATTGAAGTGAACCAAAGAGAAATTCATGTAGCAAAGCAATTTTATGCTACCGTCAGCCCCCGGATAGAAGCGCCCCTAGGGGTATAAAAAAACACTATTTTTTAGGGGGTAGGCTTATATTTGAGGATTTCTATAAGCGCCGTCTTAAAGTTAGCAAACAACGGAATGGATGAACTACCAAAGTGTTGGATACAAATAGGAAACCCTAGCATCTGTACCCTCTAGAATGCATCTCACTACAGCCTATAACTATTATATTTGACACACCCCCATAGGCTAAGTGAGGGGCATCAAAACAAGCAAGGCAGACAAACGGTCACAAGACCAATCAAGACAAGAAGCAAGGCAAGCTCAGGGTGGATCTCAAGGACACCACACAAATTCCGAGCACAAGCAAGCGGCCACAAGGCCAGTTCAAGAGTTCACTATGACATATATAGGAAAACACAACAAGCAGAGCAAGTAACAAGTCTACAGCAACCGAGGGCCTACCTCAACAAGCCCCAACTGCACACAGAACCTGTGGTGGTCACCAAGCGCCAGGGCCTTGGTGAAGACGTCTGCAGTGTTGGCCTCTGAGGCCACAAAGTCCAGGCGTGCCTGGCCGCGTCGCTGCAGCTCTTGCAGGAGGAAGTACCTCACATCAATATGCTTCATTCTGCTCTCCAGTCGAGGCTCTCGACAGAGGAGGATCATGGCCTTGTTGTCAGCGTACAAGGTCGGTGCAGAGCAAGGCCGCTCACCAAGGTCGGCGAGCAAGAAGGTCAACCAGCGAAGCTCCTGTGCCCAGGGTTGATTTTATCAGGGTAATTACCCTGATTTCAGGGTGATTACAGGCTTCTCATCTGGTGGTCCCTGCAATTTCAGTTTTTTTAACTTGTGAACTCTGATCCAATCAGATAAGTTACTTAACGAACCCTGAAATCTTTTAACTAGACTCAGAGTAGTGTACTTGCAGACTATGTCTATGCAGAGTATGCGTTCGGTGGACCCTGAATGCGAGGGTATCGGGACGAAGGTTCCTCGAAATTTCCTTTCGATAACCCCCCCTTGTGCGTAATCATTACTTCGCGTGCCCCCATGTGAGGTACCCCGTTCACGCCCTGGACTGACGTAATACCGACAACGAATTCCAACACCGTGCTGTACAGACAGCTGTCAACATTGACAACGCACCCAAATCAATGATACGTTGCTGCCACGCGCAGCTCGCAATACACAGCATGCCTCTGCCATTGGCCAGAACGGCATGTTGACAGTATGCGGTGGCAGCCCAGCAGTCCTTGAATAAATTCGGCCTTGCATCTACGGCCGAATTCAGTGACGAATGCTGCCATCAGCCTTGTGGCGTCGCGCCGCGGTGGTTTCGTGATGACCCCGCCATCTCCAACCTTCCCTTCCTTCCCCCTACCCACAGCCAGGCTTCCTTCGCTTCTTGCTTTTCATCCATTTCGTGCGTTCAGTATCACACTTTCCTCTCGCTTCATCTTTCCCCTAGCTCGCCGCCATGGAGGCCCTGTCGGCCAACGAAGCTGCTCCTCAGACTGGCCCTGACGAGCCACCTTTACCGGCGAAACCGACAGCGCCAGCCCTGCCGAAGAAAGCATCAGATGCTCCCCGGTCTGGGCTCGATTTTCTTAGAGCTGCCGGTGCTCCGGTCACAACAGAGCCTCCTAGGTCTACGGTTCATGACTCTGCTGCTAGAGTAACCCCTACTCCTTCTGATTCTCCATGTTCTGTCGCCTTCACTCTACCCCCGGCTGTTGCTTCTTGCAGCAAAGATCCCCCACCACCATCGCCTAGCCCCACTCCAAGCACGGTGCGTGTGTCTGTTGGCCCGCCGTCTGCTTCTTCCACCCCCAAGCGAGCGCGAAATGGGAAGTGGGCGCAGAGTACTCTGGTCGTCGGAGGCTGCCGTATTCCACCGCCTGACAACGACAAGCCGGCAGATCCTCCACCGAAAGAAGCTGAGCAGCCAGAGGAAGTTGACATCCCTGTGCGCGCGGATACCGGCTCGCCTACACTCACCAAGATGCAGCTGCGAGAGCAGGTGTACCTGGAGGCGAGTATTAACTACGAGACGAAGTGGTCGCAACTCTTTTCCTGGCTGGTGTTTGGGAAGACCAAGGACGGTTTTCCTTATGTGAAGTGCTCCATCTGCATGTCGTACGCGAAGGGGAACACAAGGTACGCCATGCAAGGTGACGATGGTGGCCGTGACTTGCAGACGCAGTCGCTCAGGGCGCACGAGCATACGGACGCACACAAGGCGGCGGTGGATCGGCAGTTGAAGCTTGCGGCGGGCATCCGCGAGGGCCAGTAGGCGATTTCTGACTTCATCAACTCCGACGTCTAGGGGCGGCGCGCGACTCGACTCATGCGGTCTACGCAGTTCCTGTGCCAGTGCGACGCGCCGATTAGCATGTTTCCGAAGCTGATGCGGCATCTTGCGGAGCAGGACACGCCAGACATTACGGCGTGTATCTGACACGGTATGTAATCTTACCGTTAGATTGCAGCGTAACATATGTTGCATGTCTTTTTTTTATTACGTTCCTGACCATTTCATTCTCCTCTTTGCAGATACGGCTTCCAGCAGATGGTTCACAGCATCGGTACATACCTCACTCGGGTGCAGATGGACCACATCCTGTCATCCCCCTTCCTGGGCATTCAGTGCGACGAGAGCACCGACCGAACGCGAGGGAAACACATGATTGTGTACCTTACGTTTTTTAAGAATCGCCAAATCGCATGCGAGTTGTTTACATTGCTGACGGTTGAGCGGTGTGATGTAGGGTCTCTGTTCGAGGTGCTTCTGAACCATCTCTACTCCGCAGCCGTCGATGTGTCCAAGATCGTCGGCATCAGCACGGATGGGGCGTCGGTCATGACCGGGAAAGAAAACGGATTGGTGGCGCGTCTTCGGGAACACGTTCCGCACCTATTTTCATGCCACTGCATCGCCCACCGGTGTGTATCAAGTTTCCTAGTTGGTCTGGTTTTCTACGTTTAAGATTTACCCATTACATCTTGATTTGTATTCCCTGCATCCAACAGTGAGGCGTTGGCTGTGAAGGACGCCGCTGAGTCAAACAAGGACCTTGGCATGGTCGACAAGGTGGTGCGCACAGTGGCGACGCTTCTCGGAAACTCAAGCGTGTGGAGTCAGCGGTTCAAGTACCTGCAGCGAGTGATCTACCAGACAAACCTTGAGGTCCAAGGAATCCATACGGTTCGATGGCTGTCACGAGGTGATGCGGTGCGCAGGCTGTGCAAGGTCCTCGGCACTTGCATCGTGCTGCTCTGGGAGCACAACCACAAGGCCTATGAGATTGTGACGTGCTACAAGTTCCAGTTCTGTTTGTTTTTCCTTGCTGACATTCTGGCCAACATGAACGACCTCAACCACTGCTTCCAGAGGCGTGAGGTGAGGTTGAATGCTAGTATGATGTTGAGATGGGAAGTGTAATCCTACACTGTTGCTAATCCTACTCCCTGTTGTCGATTGCTGGTGTGACAGCTGGATGTGACTGAGATTTCGAAGACTATTGAGTCCACCACGGGTGATCTGACGGAGCGCTACTTGACGACAAACAAACCGTTCGGGGGCGAGGGGAAGAGCTGGCTGGTAAACTTCCTCAAGGTCCACAAGGAGGGTGGAGGCAAGCAGGTCCGGGTTCGAGGCGTGGATGGAGAGGGAC